GAACCTATAAAAGCTGAAGACTTGAAAGTCTACGAGTTTATTTTCGATAATCGATAACTTGTCCCGTTCTCAAGTAATCGATAAATATCGATATCGACATCCAGTTTTTTGAGCAAATCTCGCAAATTATGAGAGCTGGAGACAACAAAATTTCTCAAGTAGCTTTTTGATCTTTAATTTTATAACTATTGCCGAAGATCACCAGAAGAAGCACAGCTTGAGGCTTGAGGCAAGCGTCAGTTTGGCATTTACTTTTGTTAGGCACTGTAGAATTCATGCACTGTGTGCTCAAGCGCTAACCAATACTCCCTCGCAGTGGTCACACGTGCCCAGGCGAAGAACCTTATCGAAGCTGGCGTGGATGGTCTGCGCGTCGGCATGGGCTCCGGCTCGATATGCATTACCCAGGAGGTGATGGCCTGCGGCTGTCCACAGGCAACGGCCGTCCATCAGGTATCCACATTTGCCAAACAGTTTGGCGTACCGGTAATTGCCGATGGCGGCATCCAATCGATTGGGCACATTGTCAAGGCCATGGCGCTGGGTGCCAGCGCTGTCATGATGGGCTCCCTGCTGGCTGGCACCTCGGAGGCGCCCGGCGAGTACTTCTTTTCGGATGGTGTGCGCTTGAAGAAATATCGCGGCATGGGCTCCCTGGAGGCCATGGAGCGTGGCGATGCCAAGGGTGCGGCCATGTCACGTTACTATCACAACGAAATGGATAAAATGAAGGTCGCTCAGGGCGTCAGCGGCAGCATTGTGGACAAGGGCTCCGTTCTGCGTTATTTACCCTATTTGGAATGCGGACTGCAGCACAGCTGCCAGGACATTGGCGCCAATTCGGTCAGCAAGCTGAGGTGAGTCTCTTTTACGACATACACTGCAAACGCACGTTATTTTGCTAGTCAATCAGTACGTCAGTTAGTTCACTAGTTAGTCAGTCAATCAGTCGCTCAATCAGTCAGCCAATCCGTCATCTATTGAGTCAGTAAATCAGGCAGCGAGGGACTCTTTTATTAAGTTAGTCAATCAGTATGTTTGTTTCCTAGTATAGCTGTCAACTAGTCAGTCAATCAGTCAGTCAATCCGTCATCTAGTAAGTCAGTCAATCAGTCAACAATTGAGTCTAGTATTTAGTTGCTCAATCAATCCGGAACTCAGTCGCTCAATCAGTCAGTCATTCCGTCAACCAGTGAGTCAGCCAATCTGGCAGCGACTCTTTTATTTAGTTAATCAATCAATCAGCCCGTTAGTCAATCAATTAATCAGGCATTGAGTCGCTCAATCAGTCGGTCATAGCGGCAACTACGGAATCAGTATATTAGTTACTTAGTCAATCAATCAATCAATCAGACACTCAGTCAATCGGTCACTGAATCAGTCATCTAACGACTCAGTCAATAAACGAGTCAACGAGTGTGTCTATTATTTAGTCGGTGTCAATCAGTTAGTCAGTTTGTTCACAATTGAATCAATCAGCCAGGCACTCAGTCGGTCCATCAATCACTTAGTTCGTCAACGAATGAAACAGTCATAGACTCTTTTATTAAGTTAGTCAATCAGTCCGTCAATCAGTTACTTCAGAAGTGAGTCAATCAACCAGGCACTCAGTCGGTCCATCAATCACTTAGTTCGTCAACGAATGAAACAGTCATAGACTCTTTTATTAAGTTAGTCAATCAGTCCGTCAATCAGTTACTTCACAAGTGAGTCAATCAGCCAGGCAATCACTTAGTTTGTCAACTAATGAATCAGTCAAACAGTCAGCTACAGAGTTCTATTAGGTCATTCAGTCGGCTTACGAGTGAGTCTCTTATTTAATTAGTCAATCAAATGGGCAATCAGTCGGTCAATCAACTAATCATTGTTGATCCTTGCAGAGAGATGATCTACAATGGCCAACTGCGCTTCATGAAGCGCACCCATTCGGCCCAGCTGGAGGGCAACGTGCACGGCCTCTTCAGCTACGAGAAGCGTCTCTTCTAACATACAAACAGTGCTGCAGCCTCGTCAGCTGGTGGCAGCCACTATCAACAGCAGCAGCTGCAGCAGCGCACAACAACACAGCACCAACAGCAACAGCAGCAGCAGCAGCAGCAGCAGCAGCAACAGCAGCAACAACAGCAGCAGCAGCAGCAACGTCAGCGGCAGCAACAGCAGCAGCAGCGTCTTGTTTACCACGCCGGACACGAGTTTGGGCGACTTCTGAGCAGCGAGCGGCACAAATCGCCTTGTGCTGGATCCCTATTTTATCAGCGTTTCATTTAACTCTTAAGCTTTTCCTCCTATTATTTACTATACTTTTTTTTTTGCTTAACTTGAGCGTTTTCAACCCAATTGGCAAACGATTGTGCAATCTCTACACAAATTGGCCACAATTTGCGGCAACTACAAAAGTCCACGATAAATAATCTTGATGTACTTATCTACGTCTGCTTAAACATACTTATATATATGTTTTTATATATATATCGGTGTGTTTGCCCAACTTATTCAAAGAAAGGAAATCGCTTGAAATTCTCCTGTGAGCTGTTCGAGACGCGCGCGCGATTTAAAGCGCGCACGTTGCCCACAGTAAAAGGGATTTCAATTTCCTTTCTTTTCATCCTTAATCTCTTCTCTTTCCTGAACTATCTATTAACTTTATTATTATTCTTATATATATACGTATTTGTATGTATAAAACAAAAAAAAAACCTAAAATTGTATACGATCCTCTATGCCAAAATCATAAAATTGTAAATTTGTGCTGTTAAAAACGCGTTGGCGTTTTCAAGCAGCAACGAAAATGATTGATATATAATTTTTGTTCAAATATTTATATATATTGATTCCCTGCATAATTTGTACATATACATATATGTATATGCATATATGATTATATAATTCAAATGTATTCGATCATATAATTCAAATGTTTTCGACTAACAAAATTGTATAAACTCGCAGGAACAACAAAAAACACACGCGTTCATTCCCCTTAATAAAAGATTTCTTTTTGAAATACATATATGTATATTGTTTTGTTTAATTTATGTCCATATAGAAAACTGCTTGACCTGACTGACTGATTGACTGACTGACTGATGGACTGATTGACTGACTGACGGATTGGTGATCAACGCACAAGCCGAACCGTAGGAAAATTTTAACTGTAGTTACCTTATGTGATGAAGGTGCACGTGAAGACGTGGTTTTTGCGGAAATTCCACCCGCATATGTGGAAAAATCTCGAAAAACGTTTGAATGAAACTTCTCTGTTTATCCATCCGATCGGCCTCAAACACATTTTCAAAGATCTTTGTTCTAATGCATCTGATGGGTGTTTCACCCTTTTTGGAAAATGCATCCCTTCTTGTTGGAAATGGCGGTCAAAGCGATTCAACGATTTTTTAGGCTAAGTTTTAAATTTGCATATATGTATGTATATGTATGCCTGTTTGTGCATACATGCATGCATGTTTATTTTGTATATATGCAAACATGCATGCATGCGTACATGTCTGAATACATGCCATACATGCATATATACATACATACATACAAACATTCATACAAACATACATACATACATACATATGTACATACATACACATATATGCATGCATGCATACATATATGTTTGTGTGAACATACATACATATGTATATATGTACATACATACATATGTATATATGTACATACATACATATATATATAAGTACATACTTACATATATATATATATAAGTACATGTATACATACATACATACATATTTTTATATGTACACACATACATATGTATTTAGGTACACACATACATTTGTACATACATACATACACACATACATACCTACATACACACATATACATACATACATACATACACACATATATATATATATATATATATATATATACATCCACACATATATATACATATACATATATATATATATATGTATGCTCATATATATAAATGCACATACATACATACAAAAAAACAACAAAAAAAAAAGCAGTACACTACTAGCAAAGCTGCAGTACAAACTGCAGAGCCTACATGAATTCTTGAGAATCGAGGAGTAGAGCACTTGGTAGAAAATCGTTTTATTTAAATTTGCAGCACAGCGACAAATAAGCTTGGCTTGCCTGTGGTATTAGAAAACAAACATGCATGCATACATATATACATAAATGCATACATACATGCATGCAGACACTAACATACACACACACACACACCTCACACACACACACATATAATACTTATGTGTGTTCGTACAAAATACTTGTATTATTATAGTCTTTTTTCCATAAAGGCTCACTATTATAAAATTTGTATAGAATTTGTACGTTATTTATGTTATTTATATATGTATATATATATTTAAATAAATTATATGCGACATTTGGGAAATTAAATAAATTTTAAATGTTTGCTCTTCAAAATTTAAAACACAAATTGTTCATATTAATTTCTAGTTTGACTATTTATGTTTCGATTCCTGATTTATGTGTACTTATACATATATGTGTAAATAAATAAATAAATGAAATGTATTAAATTTTAATTAACCAGAAAATCGTTGAAAATTCGTTTGCGCGCTGTTTTAAACGCGCCGAAAACGCGCCACCATTAAAAAACTATGATTTTTCGTCAATATTCATAATTTTGATTTTTGATTTATTTGTGTATATATATATATATATGTGTATATCTATAAATAAATTGCATTCGTTAAATGCTTGACTAATTCGTTTGTTTTTGTGTGTGTTTGTTGGCAAAAGTTAAGATTAGGATATTATAAATATAGAGTGCTCTGCGAGAGAAGTTCTTGAATTTATAATAATAAATATATGAATCAAAAATATTTTGATTTTATTTTTTTTAAGTAAATTTGTTTGCTAACCGTCTTGTTTTTTTTTTTTGTTTTGTTTTTTTTTTTATATATTATTGATAAAAAATGTTACAAAAGTTTGGTGCAAAAAGAGAAAGAAACGGAAGGAAAAATAGAATAAAAAAAAGTAAATACAATTGTTGTTATTTGTTGATAAACCCTTTTTAAGGACACTTAAACAAAGCTATATACAGTGTATATATATATGTGTGTGTGTGTGTGTGTGCGTGTGCAAGAAGCAGCAAGCGAATTGAGGTTATGTTGCTTAGCAAATTGAGGTTATGTTGAGCAAGCATTTGCGAGAAAGAAAAAATTGTTCGTAAACACACACACACACACACGCACACACATATGCACATGCACACATGCATGCAGGCATATCAAAAATATATGTTCATATATATATATGTATATATATAGATATATAAGTATATGGTATGCATTTTATGAAACTATGTTAATATTGGAATCAGCTGGGCGGGCGCAGCATTTTGGCTAATGTGCGGGATTGTCCGGGGCAAGGCAATGCCACTTCTCATGGAAATGATCGGGCAGCCGTATGCAGTCGAGCCACTGCTGCAGTCGATCGCCTTTGCTTTGGGCGCCCAGCTGGAGGCTGCCCAAGAAGTCGTTGCTCTTGCCCAGATCCTTGTCCCAGACGGTCAGTATGAGCATCTCCTTGTTCAGATCATGCGGACTGGCCTCAAAATAGAACTCCTCGTTGTAGATGGGATTCAGTGTGCGCCATTTGACGCTCGTCTTGTGCTTCTTGTTCTTGTGCACATCCGGTTTCAGTTGCCTTAGGATTAGGATTAGGTATTGCAATTAGATTGGAATATACTCGTTGATTCGATTACTACTCACAGCTTGACAAATGGATCGGAACTGCCGTTATTGTCCATGGCCAGCAGATTGATGCACTGCTTCACATTGACAACCAAAGCACGCCGTTTCGTATTGTAGCACAGCGAGATGAGCATCTTGCCATTTGGCCAGCTCTGCGCCAGCTCCGCCTCAGTGCTATACTGATCCTCCACGCCCAGCGGCACCGATATCCGATACTGCGCTGTGCTATGCACCTGCAACACAATTCGCATTTCCAAAATAAAACAAGTAAGAGGTTCTAGTCGGGAGCTCCCGACTAGCAGATACCCTGCACCCTCTTCCCCTTCCGACAGGCGATAGCTATAAAATGAAAGATACTTGATATACATATATATATGCTATTCTGGAAGCTACATGTCAAGTTTACTGACTCTAGATTTCGATTTCGATTTTTATCGATTACTTGGAAACGGGGCAAGCTATCGAATATCGGAAACAAACTCGATCTGCGCGGGCACTAGGAGAACCTACAGCTAAAATTCTAGCTCTTATAGGTTCTGAGATCCTTGCGTTCATACATACGGACAGACGGACGGACGGACAGACGGACATGGCTAGATCGACTCGGCTATTGATGCTGATCAAGAATATATATACTTTATGGGGTCGGAGATGCGTCCTTCTGCCTGTTACATACATTTGCACAAATACATAATACCCCTTTTACCCATTTTCAATGGGTTCAGGGTAAAAGAAACTCTTTGAGACCAGGCAAAGATTTCTGCCCAGCTTTAGGCTCAATAGATCCCATACGACATATATATTCCGGATCCGAATCAATAGCCTCTAATTGTCTGTTCGTATGTTCCTTTGCATAGAACCGACTCGGAGCTGGACGGATCGGACTCCTATTTAAATAACTATATCTTCTATGCTCCTTGCATTTGATCCACATGCTATCGGATCACTATAACATATAGCTTTATTGGAAGAATCGTTCGGAAATTGAGCTTTTGTACGGAAAACTTTTCCACCGAGATCTGACATGCTCCACATATAAAGGCAAAGTCTTGCCATTACCAGATAGATATAGAAGGAAAATCGGATGAAAAGCAGTTTTTGCTTGGACAACTTTTCCGTATCGCAAGGCAACTGAGTCAGGCCCAACAGCAGCGTAGGCCATATACATATATCTCTCACAGAAGGGTATTTGAGATTCGGTGCCGTTTTCACGCATATTTCACCGCTCGCAATTGAACTCACCGTGGATAGACAGATCTTGGCGGCGCCCAGAAAATCGTGTCCGTATTTATCGTCGTCAAAGAGCGCCACATAGAGCAGGGAATTGCCCAGCTCGTCGGGCTCAACGCCAACAAATTGTAGCGTCTCATTGAAGTCGGGATTGCGGGTCTTGTGGACCGTTTTGGTGCGCTGCCAGCGCGTATATTTCGTATGCCCCTCGGGCGTAACAATGTTCAGCTTGCAATAGGGATCGGCCAATCCGGCGGCATCCATTGCCGGCAAGTCCCGTGCACGGACCATGGTGCAGTCCAGACTGTGGAAGCTCTCCCGATAGCTGATGGCAATCTCCAGCCAGCCTAGCAGAGGATCGCGACAATGCTGCTGCAGCTGCTGCTGCTGCTGTTGCTTCTGCTGCTGCTGCGGGGTTTGGTTGTGCGTGGCGGAATGGCCGGAGCCGGAGCTGTCGCTGAACGACCACGAGGAGCTGACGGAGCTGCGGCGCAGAAAGCTGCCCTCGCGTCGCAGCTGGGCGACCGTGGACGCCGTCGAGATGTTGTCATAGTCCTGGCCATCCGCCTGCCGCCCATTGCCCTGGCGGCCAAAGAAGAAGGAATTGGATAGCTTGCGCTCGCCGCCATCGATGAAGCTGCGTATGGAGCCGTAGGCGCGCAGCCGGAAGCTTTCGTCACGCTGCAGCCGCTGTGAGCCGGCAGAGGCAGCGGCAGCGGCAGCTGTGCCCGCCTTGGCGAACTGATCCGGCTGCTCCTCCTCCGGCTCGGATTGGCCGCTGGCGCTGCTGCTGCTGCTGCTGCTGCTGTCGTTGACGCGTATCGTTAGCTTCTTGATGCGTGCTGCGCGCGTCGGTGTCGCTTGCAGGCTGCGTCCAACTGCGGCCGCCGCTGCCGCCTTGCTCCGCCCTGCTCCGCCCGCTATAGGCGTGGCAGTGGGCGTATTCGATGCACTGAGACTGCGCACGGGCATGTCATAGTTGGGTAGCCCCTTGAAGAACCAAGCGCCCGACTTCTTCCACATCTCGCGCGTCTCGGAGCAGATGCGGCACAGCCAAATCTCGCGCGTCCGCTCGCTATTGTGATACCTAATATTGATGTCGACGCTGCACTTGGTGCACACGGATTTGCGGCAGTCCTCGCAAATGATGCGCTGCGGCCGCAGCAGGCCGAACGCATCGCCGCACAGGCGACAACAGTTGGGGCCGCGCTCCACCGCGTGCAGCTTGATCTTCTCCACGCGCTCCACAAGGCGGCCCACACGCTGCCGTTCCGCAATCTCGATCTCCTCATTGCGCCGTATCACCGATATTATCGCCTCCTGCTCATCCGGACGCAGCGGCTCATTCGTCTTCGAGCTGCTCCAGCCGGCTTTCAATCTGCGAACACAACAAAACTTGAATAATTATGCGCCTATGTGTGTGTGTGTGTGTGCGGGTGTGTGGGTGCGGGTGTGTGAAGGTGTCCGGGTCGCTGTGCGCCTAATGAGCATCATTAGTGTGGGCTGCCTAATGCGGTAATCATGTTTTTGATACCCTACACATGGGCATAACGATTGTGTTACGAAATGTGTAACGCATAGAAGAAAACAACTCAATCATGTGTGTGTGCTTATTAAAACTGTTTGTTAGTCACTGACTGATTGACTAGTTGACTGATTCACAGACTGATTGACTGACTGATTGACTGATTGACTACTGAACATACTAGTTAAAGGACTAACTGATTGACTAACTGCCTGACTGACTGACTGATTGATTGATTTAGTAAAAGACTCACTGATTGACTGACTGACTAGTTGAGTGACTGACTGAATAATTGATTGACGGACCAACTAGTTGACTGGTTCACAGACCGACTGATTGACTGATTCACAGACTGATTGACTGAATGACTGACTGATTGACTACTGAACACACTAGTTAAAGGACTAACTGATTGACTGACTTCCTGACTGGCTGACTGACTGATTGACTACTGAACAAACTAGTTAAAGGACTAACTGATTGACTAACTGCCTGACTGACTGACTGATTGATTGATTAAGTAAGAGACTCACTGATTGACTGACTGACTAGTTGAGTGACTTACTGAATAATTGATTGACGGACCAACTAGTTGACTGGTTCACAGAACGACTGATTGACTGATTCACAGACTGACTGATTGACTACTGAACACACTAGTTAAAGGACTAACTGATTGACTGACTTCCTGACTGGCTGACTGACTGATTGATTTATTAAGAGACTCACTGAGTGTGACTCCCTGAGTGATTGTTACACTAGTTGATTGACTACTTGACAGACTGCCAGATTGATTAATCCCCTGACTGACAGACTAGTGATTGACAGACTAAATAACTAAAAGACTCACTCAAAGACGGACCGGCTAATTGACAGACTCACTAGTTGACTGACTGCTGATCAATGCCTCAATCACCTCGAACCGTGAAAACTATGAAGCTGAAATTTCTACTGCTGCTCCTGTTACGTCCATTTATTGTAAGACCAGGCTAAATTGCAGCTTTTGTAAAAATCCAGCTGCAAGTGAATGAAATGGTTGTACGAAACTTATTTTAACAATCTAAAGTCTTAAAGTTAACTTTAAAGATGTTTGCGAAAATTCATTTGAGACATGTTTCACATATTTACCCCCAAATCCAATCGCCCTGAATCAAATATGCGGGTCAAAGGTGGCATGAGCGAAAAATCAAGTGGAACAAGCAATTGTTAAAACAAATATTAAATTTGTTCAACGAAAATATAAAAATATCGATTGGTTCCGACTGCTTGGAGCTTACTTCTTCAATCCGCTGCATGTGCGGAAGGGTATTAAATGTGCGGCTAACCATAGAAACGGTTCATTCCTATTGCTGTTGCTTTAGCCCCAGTTCCAGGGCCAAAATGTCAAGTTCAAAGTTAATTAAGAGCCAACGGCTCAGCGCCTGGGCTCAGGGCCGTGTCTGGGTCCGGGTCCGGGTCCGGGTCCGCGACCGGGTTCGGGTTCGGGTTCGTGTCCGGACTTGCGCGTTTTATGGCCACTTTGGAATCACTTATACGCGGCATGAAAAACGCAGCGGCAATACGGGCACACACACACTCACACACACACACACTCTGACACACACATGCGAGTACATTTTTATGTAAATTGGGTTGGCAGTTTGCGTGGAAGTCTTTACCTTTGTGAAACGGCAGTTAATATGCATATGTATGCATACATAATCATAGCGAAGCATGTCAACCTTTATTTGTGGCATATCGCCTTATTATCGCTTTCTTTTCGCCCCGATGATTTTCATAATTAAAGCAAGGAAAGCCTTTTAGCATATTATCCGTTAATACATGCATCATATATCGCGTAGAACTCGCCTGCCTATCGCCTAGGCGATAAGCATAAATACGATACGTTTGCCTATGCAAAGGGAAATCTTTTTGTGTTTCTGCTATACAGGAATTCCCAAGTTCATGGGAAATTTGGTAAGACTTTTCTTTGAAAGTAACGTTAAAACAGAAATAAAAACTTGAGAGACATAAAAACTCAGCCTGCTTCAATTTTGATTTGATTTGAATTTAGTTCCAAGCCAATTTAATTTGCACAATTTGTTTTGGGTCAAATAAGGCGAATAAGCATAATAATGAATAAAAGAAAAGAAAACAAGTTAAAATGCGGCTAAGAGATACCCTGTGGCGCGACTTTGGCGAAACGGAAAGATCTATCACGATGCTTTCAAGAAAACTTGATCAAAGCAAACACACAAACGGACCGACAGACTTGGAGACAGTCCAAGCCTGCAAAACCATCAGACCCTTTTATGGCCTAATGGCTACAGGGTACACACAATAAAAACTCCAGCAATTTCAATATCAAACTTTCTGATAAGAATCTTGAAGGGAGCATAACCTCAACTTGAAAGTACATACCAAGTCAAACTCACACACACATACACATACACAAGCACACACTCGAACAACAGTTTAGCATGCAAGTCTCTGAACGTGTTCGTTAAAATGTTTCTGTTACTCTTTGTGTTTGTGTTGGGGTTCGTGCTCGTGCTCCTCACTTTGTGGCCGCCATTTCATTGCCTTGCCGCGGGTTTATTGACTTGAAAGTACCGCACACACTCAATAAGCCGAACCTGTTGCGAAATTCAGCTGAATTCGTTTTGGAATTGAATTTCTTGTTAGCTAAAAACAGCTTGTTACGAAGAATGGCTGAGAGCAATGTTTCGTTGAGGCTGCTTTGCATATATCCACTGTACTGTGTGTGCACTGTACACGCTTGCAAATATACACGGTGTGTGTGTGTGTTTGTGTGCGCGCGTGTCTGCGTGTGTGTGCTCTAACCTCGCCTATTGCCTTGAGGGCTTTCCGCTTCAGTTTCAGCAGCTGCCGTGCACGCTGTCAGGATCAGGCAACGGTATTTGCGTTCGAGCAACAGGCGAAATGAGTTAATTTCACTTTGCGTGCACATAATAATTTGTTTGTCCCCATTTCGCGTTCTTAAAATGCAATTGCAAAATGCACTTAACAACTGTGTACACTCTATGAAAAAAATACAACAGCAAAAAACCGATGCCAGCATGCGACATTATTGTCGCATTAGCACTAACCGCATCCTTGCGGCCCTCACACGATCAAGCTGTTGTTCTAATGGCTGTTCTGCACGTGTATTGCACCTAAAATGGCGGCTGCTAAAGTGCATGGTATGCAGCAGAAAAGGTTGGAGCTATAATTAACGCTGTCAAACGATCAAGCCAATTGCATTGCCTGCGCGGCTGCTGCTAAAGTGCATGGTATGCAGCAGAAGAGGTTGGAGCTGCAATTACCGCTGTCAAACGATTAAGCTGTTGCTTGTCATAGGATCAAGCCTATTGCATTGCCTGCCCTGAACGTGTATTGCACCTAAAATTGCATGGTATGCAGCAGAAGAGGTTGGAGCTGTAATTAACGCTGTCAAGCGATAAAGCCAATTGCATTGCCTGCTCGGCTGCTGCTAAACTGCATGGTATGCAGCACAAGAGGTTGAAGGTTGAAACTATAGGCAGGCTAAAAGAGACAGGGCAGCATATTGAAACAATATCGATAGATATTCTTGAACTTTAAAATGAAAAGGCATTCCAGAGTGGCAGGAAATGCAACTCGTTCGCTTGCGGCAGCCAATTTAAATGCATTTCGCACTGCAGCGCTGCGGTTTCTGCCTGACAGCTCTGGGCTTGCACAGCTGCTGCGACGACTGCTGCCTTGGGCTGTAATTTGAATTTCAAGTACATTCTTGTCAGCTTTACAATAACCGCGCCCCGTCCAGCTGCCGCTACCCAGTTCGTTTCCATGTCCAGTGTGCATGCGTCACGCTGTTGCCTGGGCCTGTGGCATTGTTTCTGTGCCTTTTTTTTTTTATTTTTATTATTATATGTACAGCTGAAGCTCGCTGCGAAAATTGAGCGAACGGAAGTGTAAATTGAGCACTTGAAACCTGCTGCCTGCTGCCTGCCAACTGCCACACAGCTGCCATCCGGTGCGCCCGCTGTGCGTGTCTTTTGCGGCTGTGGCATTATGCATAAAGCGTGCTTCAATGTGTGCATGTGCATGTGTGTGTGTGTGTCTGTGTCTGTGTGTGTGCGTGGTTTTGTACTTGTAGTTAATTCTGCGTAAAGCCCCAATTCACATATTTACAGTCAGCTGGGATTGCGCCTCACAGTATGCTACACGTTTTCACTTTGACACAAACATATGCTGCCAGCGACCATGTGCTGGCTCGTGTGTTTGTCTGCGTGTGCGTGTGTGCGTGTGCGCGTGTGGGCGTGTGGGCGTGTTAATGTAAATGTTCATACCCGCACCACCCAGCCTACCAACGGCTCAGTCATTTAGCCGCCGTCAATTGCAATAAATAATTGTGTATTCCGACTGTGCCATAAACATGCACGCGGTTCATAAAAATAACCAAAATAAAAAAAAAAAAACAAATATATATATGTATATACAAGAAGTTGAAGCATTATTAAAATTTAATTAATCTGTCAGCGAGACGGCGGCAACGAGCTCAGCGAGCGGCCCATTCAGCAATTATGATTAGACGAAGGACGCAGGAGGACATGTGGGCTTTTGGCTGCGCGCTGGGTCCTTGACAGCACGTTGGCAATTCCATGGCCAAGCCGAGTGCATGTGTATATGCGTGTGTGTGTGTGTGTGTGTGTGCGTGTGTTTGATTAAGCTACAACGCTGCGCGCTTTAGCTAATCACACACACACACAGATATATGTATATGTATGTATAAATGTGAAGAGGGAGACAGCGGCAACTGACGCAGTCAAAGTTAATTAAATTATAACTAAAGCTTTTGTCGACACATACGCGACAGTTGGCGTTTGTGCTCGTTGCTGTTGCTGTTGTCTGTTTTTTTTTTTTTGCTTCGCACAAACTGTTGCGCGCCGCTTGTTGCCTTATCAGCCAGCAGCAGCAACAACAACAACAACCACAACAACAACAACACGAATAGCTGCAGCAACAACAACAACGTGAGCGTCCAGCTTTTGTTTATGACGCGCACAGAACATTCATCACAATCCACATAGCGCTTTGTTTAAGGTTAGTCAACGTTAACGCTATTGTTTAACTTGGAAACACACGCACATGCACACAGCCTGTGACAGGCGCCCAATTGTTGCATTGGCATTTTTGATTGCCTACATTTGAGCGCATTCCGATTTACTTACTTGGCTCGCAGCGCCAGCTGCCTGTCGCTGGGACAGACGAATTTGTTGGCCGTATTATTGCGATTTGCGAAATCCATCTTCTCACATATTATATAGATATTGCAACATTTTCTACTTATTTTCAAATTTTACACGTATTCAAAATTTATGTTGTTTGGCGCAACAAAAAAAAAATGGTTTAAAAAAAACGCTGCCTGCCAGCAGGCGCACTTCCTGGTTTCTGTTGTTGTTTATTTCAACTGTTGTTTGCCGCATGCAAGCAAATTGAAAACAACAACAAGAACGCGAAGAAAGATTGTTTGAAACACGTCTTAATGCGCACGCAGCTGGTGCGCGTCTATGTCTATGTAATTTCTGCTTTTGCAGCTACAGCGACAGTCGCCAAATTGGCCCATTCGCAGGCCGCAACGGCCGCTAGCGATGTGCCGAACGGCGCCAAAACTATCGACAAGCGCTGTAAACATCGATTGCAGGCTTTGTAAGAATAATCGCAAGCTAATGCTAAGTAATTTAGCTTATTGTTGTTATTGTTGGCAAGCTGCATTCAAAGCACATACAATTAGTTAATTAAATTTTTGTTTTTTTTTGCCAACGCAACACAAATTATATCGGTGCTAATTTTCAGAAAGTGTCACAGCAATTCGTAAGCAATAAATTTGATTTTGGTTAGAAATAATATTTGCTGAATATTTAAATAGTATTCTAGCATTATCGTAATTTATTTTTAAATACATTATATATATTTAATTTATGCCTGCAACTTAAGGAGATCGCATGTGCGATCGATAACATATCGCACGCATTCGATACTAGTCACAGCGACAACAGTCCGCAGTCACATGTGTTAGTGCCAGCCCCAATTGAAGCAGCGGCAAATGCAAGAAGGCGAAGGGGAATGGAAATGGGAATGGGAATGGATGTTGCGGTGAATGTTGGGTTAGATGGGGTTGTTGAGGCGGCCACATTCACCAAACGGCTTCAGTTTCGGTCCCCAGCTTCGCATATTTGCACGCGCCGAGCCAAAGCAAAGCTCGTTTGGGGAACAACACTTGAGCCACGAACACGCATCAACACGCTCGCAGTCAGACTCACACTCACTCTCTCTCTCTCCCTCTCTCACACACTCTCACGCAGCATATCTGTTTCCGGCTGGGCTCTGCACATGCCACATAATTTCATTGCATGCTTTTGTGCGCCGACTAACTTATTTTGCTTTGCGCTCAATTTATGCTGCTGGTGGGGCGCGGGGCCTTGGCTATGGCAGCTATAGTTAGTTGTTGTTGTTGTTGTTGTTATTGTTGCCTTGCCAAACACGTTGCGCCCGCAGCCCGTAGTCCTGCGCGCCGCTTTCTGGGTGTGGCCAGTGCGCGCCTCCTGTGCATTCAACTGGAATTCATGCGCGACGCCTACCAACTCCCAGCTCCGCAACAACAACAACTTACAAAAAAAGAAAGGAAACCAACTATCTGCGAAGGGCCGCAGGCATTTGGCCTTTTCAATGTGGCAGCTGAAATCTGTCTGACGCGCATAGTTGGGCTCGCACTGTACGCTATCCTTTGACACATGTGTGTGCGTGTGCGTGTGCGTGTGCGTGTGTGTCCATTTTAAATAAATGCTGACAGCTAAATGAAAATATTTAATGTACGTGCCAAGCTTTTGGACACTGACATCTCGCACGTACCCTAGCCCATGTCCTTTTGCGCCGGCTCGTGTCTTCTTGTTGACATTGCGCTTCATCTTGCTGAATGACTTGTTAGTCCTTGTTGTTGTTGTTGTTGTTGTCCTTGTTGTTGTTGTTGTTGCTGCTGTCCCTTGAATTGGGCATTCGCAACGCGTTCGCATCGCAGTCGACATCGTCAACGTAACGACAAGTGCGACGCCAGCAGCGTGTATAACTGTTAGCCAAAGGCAAATGTCCTTCATAGCTGGATTTGCCTGCCAACTGGTCTCCAAGCCATTTGGCCTAATGAGCCAACGCCGCCAGCACTGTCAACAGTTGGGGTGTAACTGAGCCCGGATCTCGGCCACATAATGGACGCCGTTCAGTGGCATACATGTGATTAAATCACAAATCAATTTGTTGATAGATTTCAGCTATCTGCTGGGAGGCATAAATTCCTTGGCTGTTTGTGCTCCCTTTTCATATTACATTTCAACAGACTAACTATTTGCGGGCCCATTTCTAACTAATCCTTTTCATATCGGGCTAAATGAGAATTAATACCAAATTTCAGCATCATAACTTATATAGTTTCTGAGTTATGATGCGAAATGACGTGGTTTCTGCAGATCCTAACGGTATTTCATATCGCACATAAAAGGGCTTAATCTATCATGGTATCACCAGCTTATATACCAAATAACAGCTAAAGAGCTCAAACAGATCCTGAGATCTGATGCCGAACCACTATGGAATCAGCTCTATAAACATGGCCCAAGATAACAGCACATTAAACTAACATTTTTATACAACTGTACACAACTGAAATGCTAGCTGGCATGAAAAACTGTACCTAAATAAGTACATTTGTAGTCCTTGGGTCATCCATCATTAGGCCTACGCAAACAAATTCCCAAACTTGGGCTCATCAGCCGCGCCCCCGAAATACAGAATGTTTACATTTCATATTTGTAATTCAGTTTATTTTTCAGTATTTAGTTTAGTTTTTTTTTGTTTTTTTTTTTTTCTTTTTAAATTTGTTTTTCTATTTTGTTTTGTATGTCTTTGTTTATCTTGAAGCAAATTTCTGCACAACAATTGGCGTTCGTTATTGCGAAACGCACATAAAGTGAAAAAATAGAAATAATACAAAATAAACAAGGTCATAAAAAAGGCAACTGACCAGTTTTTTATTATTAACATGCGACATGCTTATTATTGGTTGCCTTTTCAGTTGTGTTTGCTTTGCTTTAATTTGCGTTTGTTTTTCTTTCTTTTTTAACTAGTCTATTCTAGGGTATCTCTACTACGGTCATTTCAAGTGAGCAGCCACTGCCATCTCTTTCACTCCTTCACGTGCTAGCACATACATTCGAAATACTTGCACAAAATATCATTTAAAATTTTTTTTCGGTTCCATTTTGGAATTCCACTTGGCCTCCAGTTGCCAGAACAAAGGAAATATGATATAACATATTTTTTTTTTTTTTTGTAGCACAAGTGAAACTCTGAAAATGCCGCTGGAATTTGACTAACAAAAACAAAAAAAAAAAGATATAATAAAAATCCGACGACTGTCGACCAAAAAAAAAAAACAAAAATAGAAGCAGTGGGGAAAAAAAAACTATTAACAAGGAATTTAGCATAGGTGAGACAACAGCCGTTGGATTTGTGGGCAGGCGCCTAATCACGCAGCGCCTTTGGCTTGTTATGTTTCTTAATGCTGGCGCTGGGCGTGGCAGCCGGCGGCACGTGGCGCGGCTTCTTGTGCAGCCGCTTGTGATAGCTCTGGGCCAGGGAGTTGACAATCGACACCACAAAATAGCAAACCATGCCAATGACAAAGGTCTCAAAGATTTTTGATAGCAGATTACCGGAATCACCAGCGCCGGCGGCGTTAGCGTTGCGTCCGCGCTGCTGTCGATGCAGTCGCTGCTTCTGGTTCTCGAGGAATGCCTTGAACGGCTGTTGGAGCTTGCGACCAAATATTGGCATCGTGGCAATTAGATCGACGGCCCGCTCGATGAGCGTCTCATTGAATGCGATAATCACAAATATCTTCTGTATGTGCATCTTGATGATGGCCTTGCCGATCAGTGTGGCGCCAAAGAATGTCCAGAATGGCACCAGAAAATGGCCGCAAGTGATGCCGGCCAAATCGAACAGCGGATTGGGTATCTGCGGGCGCAACCAAATAACAACATGAGGCAACAACAATATCTAGGATAGATGCAGACACATACGCTTGCACAGGCCAGTATGCCAAAGAAGCCAACACGCTCCACGACACGCTCCATGAACAGCTTGCCCTTGTCCATGAGACTGAGGTTCTTCTGATGACGCTTGGCATTGAGCGCCTCAAAGTCGGCCAGCTCCTCGGCATCGTCCGGATCATAGCCAGACAGGCGTGCAGCCTTGGCCATAAAATATGGCGGCAATTCGCCCAACGCAGTGCCAGCGCCCCAAAGGAACGCCTCCAGGCGCACCTTAGACATGATGGACCAAATATTGGGCATGCGCTTCATATACGGCTCCTCCGGACAAATGATGCTGCAAATTAGAACGTAAACGCGTTACATTAAAATATTCAGCGAGCGAGCATTCGGTGCAGGACTTACTCGTCGGGATAGGGCGGCTGGGGAAAATCGAGTGAATTGCACTCGTAGGCGGCCAATGTGACGCTGGCTATGTGGGGGCCCAGATAGAGCAGAAATGTGTGCAGGCCAGTGCCCAGGCCCACCGATGAGAGAACGCCCAAGCCGAGCCAGTAGACAAAGAACCAGGTATTGCGACGCACCAGCTCAATGAGCAGCTGATGTGGGCCATCTAGTTTGTAAATTATGCTAAATACAATGCCTAATACTATTAAAACGGCCAACAGGCCGCGTTGCTTCAGTAATCTGCAAGAGGTAAAAAAAAGAGTAAGAGAGCGAAAGAGCGAGAGAGCGAGAGAGACAGAGAAAGAGTTAAAGTTGGAGGTAATTGTGTATAATTGGATTCATTGCGCACTCACCTGCTGCTCCAGGTGCGCAGCAGTGCAATCAGCTCGAATGCACAGTATTTGGACGTCTGCATTGGATGACGCCAGAGCACCAGCTGTGCGCGTTCCATGCGTTCTTTGTCTTTTTGCTGTTTATCCTTTTTGCTTAGCTGCGTTTTGTTGATGCTGCTGCTGCTGCTGCTGCTGCTGCTGCCGCCGCCGCTGTTGGGCTTCGTGTGTGTCGCTGCGAGCGTTTGCATTTTGGCAGCGCTGCTGCTGCTGCTTCTGCTGCTGCCGCTGCTGCTGTTACTAACTGTAAGTGAGGTGTTGCTGCTGTTGCTGTTGCCCTTGGCGCTACCATTGGGCGTCTGCTGTTTCTTTTGGCATTTGTTGCTGTTGCTGTCGTCCTGTTTGCGCTGGCGTGTGCTATTCGCATGGCTGCCTGTGTCCTTTTTATTGTGTTGTGACATTTAAGCGCTTTTCTGTGCCTTCAAGCAGCTACTAAACGATAAGAAAATTAAATAAAAACAAACAATAAATATATAATAACACATGCACAAATTAAGCTTCAATTATTTAAAAGTGCGACTGTTTGTATTTTTAGTGCTGCCAGATTGTTGATTGCTTTTGAGTTGTAGGGGCGTTGCCATAGAGCTGCTAAATGCTGATCATTTATGCTGAACTTGTATGACAAGCTTGTCGTATCGTGCAACAGCGTATAATTTATTAATTTGATAAATTAATTGAACAAATTTGATCTAGTGTATTTACACAGAACTACGAGCTAAGATTGATGGGTGAACAAATCGCAGAAATATAAGATAACATGAGAGCATTCAATATTCGTTGTGACACACATGCATACATAAGTAGCTTTTTTTTTTCTTGACCTTTATTTCGAAATAGCCGCAACAGCAACTATGTCGCTAGTTCTATCTGGTGTACTACAATTATTCTGTTAGTTGGCAACGCAGCAACTAAAAATACGTGTGTGTATGAGTTTTAGTGCGCGCGGGAAAAGCACAACAACAATGGATTATCATACGATACTTGAGCACCAATAAAATGAATCCACATAGTTCCCAGCAAAAACGGAGCACACAACACACACACACACACACACTCACGCGCGCGTACGTTTAAGCATATATGTATATGTGTGTGTTTGGGTTCTGTAAAGCGTGGCAGCAGCAGCAACAACAAAATGCTGATCAGCAGCAAAGAGTGGACATTAACACACTTAATTCTGCTCGTCATAACGTGATACGCACACACACACACACACACACACACACAGACTCACGTTTGCTTGTGCGGATACAATAGGCGCGTGGTAGTAGTGGTAGCTGCTGCTTAATCAGCTGTTTGTCTGGGTTTTGTTGTTGCTCGCCGTACAACACGCCATACAACACGTATATTAAATGTATGTATGTATGTTAATTGAATAAAAATGCTGTGTGGCCAAAGTGTGAAAGCTTCCTTGACATGCAGAAGTTACCACTGCTGCAGTTGTGCCGTTAATCGCTGTTAGGTTTTGTTTTTTCTTTTTTGGGGTGGCAAATGGCGCAGAGTCGTCTGGCCATTGGACAACGAAACCAATAACGATAACAACAGCAACAAAGAGCCAGGGCAACGACAAAGACTAAATGCGTCACGAAACAGCACTAAACAAAAATCAATTGCACTCGCTGCAGCCGTTTGACATGACAACAACAAAACTAATAATACTGCAAAACTGCGCTATTTTTCATTCGTCACAAGCTGTACTTGACAACAGCAGCAACAAAAACAAGAAAACATTAAAAAAACAAACACTTCTGCACTTAGGCCGCAACGGCGCCTGTTTTGTAACGAGCCGTCGTCGCCTTGTAAACTGGAAAACATCGTTTTTACTCTTTTTTTATTTTACCTGTTTCGTGTTTTATTTTCGTAATGCAAATACGCGAACACGTATTATTTGGTTAGCAACTCGTTTGCACTGGTGCAGTTGATTCGTTTCACATAAAAACAATAACTTAATTATGAATAAATGTGCAAAGCCTGCCAACCTATTGCCTGCATAAAAAAAAACACACGTCTAAACTCCGGCTAAACAACAGTCGTTGTTAATGTAAAGCTCAAAATGGTGCTGTTATTGCAAATACAGACGTTATGCTAAAATCAACTGTTAACGCGCTAACATAACATGTTATGCACAATACTGCTAGCGATAATTCAAAAAACAGCGCTGCTAATTCATTTTAGCTGCCACTTTGTTATCGATTTTAAAAATTGACAACATTTATCGAAATCAACACTTGAACTTGGTTTAAACAAAAAGATGAGATTTAAATGTTTTTTATATGACCTTATCAGGCAAACCTTTGTTCCCCTTTAGCCGATAAAGACAAATAACAGCTGATGGAACTGCCGAATTTTGTTGTTCCTTTCTTTTTTAAACCAGTCAAGTTTTATATATATTTTTTTTTTTTTATTTATTTAATTAATAGTAGATTAATTACTGTACGCTTAACCAAGAGAGTCCTATTTGTAACCATACACACTAAATATGCACAAAATTTTGTTGTATTATTATTACACAAAAGAAAGAAAAAGAATCGGGAAATAAGGTAAAGTACCTTACAAAATGATATAGATTGCACGGTACACAAGTAAAGCAGGAAGTTAAACTGAACAAAACGGTGCCAAGTGAAAATTGTTAAAGCATAGGTAATTTGAAATACTAGCGCGTATAGAAAATGTTTTATATAAAATAATTTTCACATAACATTTGTTTTTGTCTTACAATTCTTTTTTTTTTGTTTTCATTTTTTAAGATCTTTTTAAGTTGTTTTTGTTTGTTTTGTTTTGTTTTTGTTTTTTTTTTCTTTCAATATTTTACCGCCTTAGACCTGCACAATTTGTTTAGCTATCTTTTTTTTGTGTTTTTTTTTTTCGCATTTTTTTCAATTGCATGCTAAACGTAAAATATATGTTTATATATATAATTTTCTGTATAGGTTGTTGCATGGGTTCAAAACGCCTGCCGCTTTGGAGAGATGCAGTCGGTATTTATTTGTCCATGCCATAGACATTCTCATCGGAGTAGGCTATGTACAGGAAGTAATCCTCCTCGTGATGCTCCTGTGCCAGAAAAAGATAAAGGAGAGAGAAATGATGTGTGATTAAAGGGAGAATTGAGCCAGATAAAAGTCGGCTCTTACCTGGTACAATGAGCCCATTGTTGCAGATGTTGGAGGAATGACATTGTTGACGAAGAAGAAGAGTGCATCCTCGGGACGCAGGTGGATGCGTTTGCGTATGAGGAAGTAAAACTGGCCGACGGTCAAATCAGATGGCACCAGATACTTCTTTTTGTCCAAATCGCCAATGCGCGCCTTTGGTGCCTTCTCAACAATCACCTGTGAAAGAAAAACGACAGCGATAAGTTTAAGATCGGATTTTATGCAATTTCCATAGCTTAAATGTGCTTGTATATACCAAAATCAAAATTAAAATATGCCTTATACATACATATATAATCTTAGTGGCATGCCAAAAAGAAAATCTGGAACATCGATCTATTATCGTTTCCGGGTAAGTTGGGATGAGACTATCGATAATTTGATAATATGCGTTATCAGTTAGGTAAATAAGAAAATATTTTTCTAATTTCTAATCTCTAGCTCCAGTTTCCGAGAGGTAAGTATGAACAAACAGGCAATTAGACGGGCAGTTATCGGAACGGGATAGTTATCGACCGTTTTATAATGGACTTAAATGCGAACATAATCTTGCAAATTCGAAGTCCCTAGTCTTCGAGACCGAGACGCACCGTCGACTCTACTGTTGACCAAGAATATATATGTATATACATCTATACATCAGGAGGTTGAAACTGCCTCCTTCTATCTGCTACATACTGTTGCACAAAGCAATATTGCATTTTAGATGGTATTTTCAATGGGTATAAATTACGGCAAGGGGGGCAGGAGATGGACATTAAACGGTATGAAAACGAAATAAACTGCGTCTTCCAAAACGCGACTACGTGACGACACACCGATAAATCAAAAACACGTATAGATACACATATAGGTGTTTGTCTGTGTGGGTGCACACTCATGCTCAAATATTTACTGTAAATGTAATTGCATTTTTGTGTGTAGCAAGGCGAATACGAAAAAAAAAAAAACAAATACAATATATAACAATTTGATAATAGCAAATGTTAGAAATAGCTGTTAGCCGTGAATGTTCTTTAACATTGCTGTTAACTGAAGCTTAGCAATTTAGCCAAAAGAAGCTGTGGTGGGGTGTGGTGTCACTGGCCGCGCTCAAGGTGAAGGTGGTCTATTGTTTAGCATATATTTGTATGAATGTATGTATGTGCGTATGTATATAATTAAAGTATATATATATATATATATATAAATATATATATGGACATAATTAGACTGCGACCAGCTGGCCTTGCCTGCATTTGGTTTGTCGTCAGCTGTTATGTGATTTGTGTTGTGCTGCTTGCCAAAATACAAAATTGAGTGAACACACAAAACAAGCAAAGCGTTGAAATTGTTGAATAATAATAAATACAGAACGAGAAATAAGAAAACTTCAAATGTATAGAGTGTGACGGGGAGGCGGAAAAGGTGCATAAAAACAGGCAGCAGCAGCCTGTAAAGCTTCTGGTAAGGAAAATAGGTTGCTGATAACGTGAGAGGGGGAGGGCGAGAGAGTGAGCTTTCGGTGTGAATGCTTATGTGTGTGTTTGTGTGTGTGTTTTTACGCGCAGCAACAACAACTGCATATGGTGAAATAGGCAAACAAACAAAGAGAACAAATCGCTATGACTAATTGTGGACTCAATGCAAATGGAAAAACAAAACAAGAATTTTTAATATTAGCCAAAAATCATGGACTTCGTGTTTGTGTGTGCGAACGGCTGAATTTTGTTTTTATTTTTTTTATGCGCAGTTTTCAAGCTGTCTGGCGTGCGTTTTTGCAAGTCAACAAACAAAAAATGTTTTTGATATAAAATCAAAAAAAACAACTGGTTGGCCGTGTGCTTTGATAGGGGGCTCAGGGGCTGACGCTGTGCCTGCGTGTGTGTAGGAGAGGAGAGGGGGGAGAGACAACACCAGCCAAATGAAAAACAACAACAGCACAACAGCTGAGCAAGCGAGTCAGCTAGCAGCTCGCTCTCTCACACACACGCACACAAACTGAACAAAGCCCGTTGTTTGCGTGTGTGTGAGTGTATGTATGTGCGTCAATTTGTTTGATTTTCACTCGAGATTTAGCAAGTGTTGACTCTGACGAGTGTATTTTATATTCATGTAGCATATGCGAAAAGCTGTAGTTGGCCATTAAAGGCACAGAAATGGTCATTAAAATATTAACAATTACTTCTAGAGCCAATTTGCGCATTATTGATTTTCCCCGCAGTGTGTGTGTGTATGTACATACATATGTGTGCAGTAATAACAACAACACATAACTAAATAGAACGACGCAAAACAATCGCATACATACAAGCAACGCACACACACACACACACACACACAGAATATACACAGTATAGAGTACGAATACATATATAGAAATAAATAAAAATACAAAAAATGTACTTACGGGCACACGGTCCGGATATTTACGGCGGATCTTGTCCCCTTCGGCGCGACGCTTCTCAAATGCATGCTCCTCTTTATATTGGAACTTCATGATTGTACTTGATATATAATTGTATAAGAAACGCAGTTTTCACTTTACTCTTTTTAACCAACAACAAAAAAAAACTAGCTATCGCTTTCGTTTGTGGTTCACTTGTGCTGGCTGCTCACTTCAGTATGACCAATCTAAATGCAATCAAGAAGACCAAAAATCGTGAAATGCTAAAATTAGCGTTCAGTGTGACTGTACAACTTTAGTATCAAAATACCATAAAATACCATAGAAATACCAAACTTTTAATGTGCAGTGCTGTATAAATGTAATATAAAAAATAGCGTTTACAAGCACTGAAAACAATCAGCAATCGGTGAAAAAATCGATGACTTTTGTACATCTCTAGGTTTTGGTTCTTTTCCTCCGTGGTTTTCGAGTAATAGGATGGCTCCAACTGTAAGTGCTCAAGTAAAATCATAAAAATGTTGCGCCATCACACTTAAATAATGGAAATAAAATGCAAAATATTTAAGCTAGAGCTGTTTTGCGTGCATACACGTTGAGATTTGTGCTAAAACACGTGATGGCGTAAATATCTTACGTAAACTTTATCTAAGCTTCGCATTGAATGTTTACAGGCCAAGACCAACAAGGGTGATACCAAGGCTGCTAAGCCAGCCGAAAAGAAGGCTGCGCCAGCCGCGGCTAAGGGCAAGGTTGAGAAGCCCAAAGCTGCTGAGGCCGCCAAGCCTGCAGCTGCTGCCGCCAAGAACGTAAAGAAGGCGCCGGAAGCCGCTAAGGACGTTAAGGCCGCCGCCGCAGCCAAGCCCGCTGCTGCTGCTAAGCCAGCTGCTGCCAAGCCCGCCGCTGCTAAGGATGCCGCCAAGAAGGCACCAGCAGCTGCTGCTGCCGCGCCCAAGAAAGACGCCAAGGCAGCTCCTGCGGCTACCAAGAAGGCAGCTACCACTGCCGCTGCTGCGCCCCCAGCTAAGAAGGCAGCTCCTGCTGCAGCCAAGGCTGCACCAGTTGCTGCTGCTGCTGCTGCCGCCGCCGTTCCAGCTGCGGCTGCTGCCAAGCCCGCTGCTAAGCCGGTTGTAGCCAAGCCCAAGCTGAAGCCAGCCACACCAGCGGCAGTGCCCAGCAAGGTTGTAAAGAAGAATGTGCTGCGCGGCAAGGGCCAGAAGAAGAAGAAGGTCTCGTTGCGTTTCACCATCGACTGCACCAACATTGCTGAGGATAACATTATGGATGTTGCAGATTTCGTAAGTACCCCGCCTCCGCCGTCGAATGTTTCTAACCCAAAACAACAACATGCTTCACGCATCACCAGGAGCAGAACATCATAACCTCAATGACAATGGGCAACAGTGACGTCAGAGCGTCTATGATACCACACCAAGCTTTTCATTGCCGCAAACAGCCAGAGGCTCTGGATAAAAAGTTGTGGTTATATCAAAGTATTTCAATAGCGATTAAACTGAACGTTGCCAAACAAAAAGTCTGCACGTGCGGTTAACAACTGCTGGAACACTGGAAATCGAACATGTCTCTGCACGTCGTCACTGTGGCCATTTTGTCATGCTGCTTCCACACAGCTATCGATATATGTTTATCGATTGTCATAATCATGGCGGCCTTTGCAAATCATGTTATGTATATATATTACTTCTTTTTTTTTTGTCAAACCTTTTCTGTCGCGCTTCACGCGCGCTGCTGACAAAGGGGCTCTGGACACTGCACAACGGGGTAGCCACTGATCGCCAGTACCGGGTCTGGCCAGTTGGTGCAACCGTCTGTGAACAGCGTCAAGTCGTGCTATGTGTACCGCCACGTGGTGGGCCCTGGGTTGTACGTGTCACATCCGTGTTGCGTCGAGCCAAAATTCATAGTGCGCCCTGCTACAGGCGTGTACAATTGATACTCTGTCACGCTGCAGGTTTCTCCACGAAGCAAATAAATCTTAAAGCCAATTCGAAGGGGAAACCTTTTGTTGTCTATGCCGCTGCACGCGCATTTTCCAATATAGCAGGGCGCCAGCCCAAAACTCTCAGCTCCCAATGTTGTTGTTGTTGTTGTCGCCGCCGCTACGGAACAGGTAATACAGCTGTAAGCCATACACGCATCCATCTAAATATTTATGTTTATATATTGTTATTTTAGGCCACGCCGATTTGCCGTCAGAGAGTGAAGGCCTTTTGGCCACGTCGCTCTGAAGGCAGTGTACTCAGTGGCATATTAAAAAATTGGTCACTCTTCTTTATTTGGGCCTTTTGTTCGCAATTCCATTAGACTTTTGGCCTTAACAAAGAAAGAGACAGCACTACACTGTGCATAGATATATATATATATATATGTATATATAGAAATTTACATACACCATTGCCGTACTCTTCTAATTGATGAATGTCTTTTGGCTTCGCAGGAGAAGTACGTGAAGGCTCGCCTTAAGGTCAACGGCAAGGTGAACAATCTGGGCAACAATGTCACCTTTGAGCGCTCCAAGATGAAGCTCCATGTCAGCTCCGATGTGCACTTCTCGAAGGCCTACCTCAAGTACTTGACCAAGAAGTACCTGAAGAAGAACAGCCTGCGCGATTGGATCCGTGTTGTTGCCAACGAGAAGGACTCGTACGAGCTGCGCTACTTCAGAATTAGCTCCAACGATGATGAGGATGATGACGCGGAGTAAAGATATATAAAAACTAAAAGATAAAACCATCAAATTTTATACAAGCTCTGTTTTTAATCAAAGACAAACACATGGTTTACCTTATAAAAAAAAAAAATAAAGTTTTATAAACTTTAACTAAAAACGATTTTTCTAAACTCTCCCCGCAAACAAATCCTCTTTCCTGTCAGTCGTAGCCTTGTCTTAGCTTCCATTAGTAATGCCAATTTGGCATTGACTTGTACAAATTTGTTGAATAATTGAAGTTGACTCAATTTTGGGACTTGAATGCTGCCAAATCTTTACCACACTTTTTACCGTCCTTATCTTTGGCTTGGATTTGTACATCAGTCTTGTCCTGGCCTCCAAGTAATCCAATCCAAGCAATTCAAGGCTAGTGTATGGGATGTAGTATTGACCTGGCCGAAAGCCAGAAAGTAAGTGTGCTAGTCGGGACTGGCCGACTAGGAGATACCCTGAACAAGCTTTCGAACCATTGAGTACACATTTCTACAAACTCGCCGAGCTTCTGCTTCACCCAGCTACACACTATGGGAAATCTAGACTAAGTACAGCTTCGGTTGACAGTCCGTTCCCAATCAAAATGGATATTACCCAAAAATGATGCCCAATATGTAAATGGAAGAGGCTATGCCTTTCACTAAGTGGAGTTATCTAAAAAGTGAATTATTCCCGATCTATATACATATATGCGTTACCTATACCCACTAAACCAAGTTTGGAGCAGCTAGCGCTTATAATCCTCGAGATAAAGAGATTAACCCGTGCTGTCTAGGGTATACGAGAATTTAATGCCTGTCTAGCTAGTCAGACAGACAGACAGACAGACAGGCGGACGACTCAGCTCGTCAACAAATTGTTGATGGGTTCCAGATTTATAGCTTATAACCATATCCTATATACCTACATATATTGGGCACAATTTGTGCAATTGCAAAGGCTTTGCTCATGATTGGATAACTACGCTATTAATATGTATTTCTGTTCCAGTTGATTGAAATGCACAGATTCTCAGTAGCTCGACTCGCCAGTTGGGGGAAAATTCCCCGAGGCTGGGCAATTAATTGGCTAAATATCACTTTGTGTCTGTTGATCCAAATAGTTGCCATAGCGTGAAATCATGTGCTCTACGCAGATGGAGGGCTTGTAAGTTGCTTGGGCCTTGGCAAGCTGGGAGCTAAGCTCCCAATCGGGTGAAAGTTTTGTTGGGGTGCAGTCTATAATATGGAAGAGAAAGAGAGATCTTGCTGGATCGGCTAGGCCCGATAATTGATGATTCATTGTTGTTGCTGCTACTGAAGAAAAAGACCAGCTTGGCGCTTGGAGTGCGGCGTGATGTTAAAGCTTTTATTCGAATCAATTGACCAAAAAATAGAAACAATTATTTAAACAATACGAGACAATAACCCAAAAAAAAAAAACAAGAAACAAATTTATAACAAGTGCCGAATAAATAAGTTGCAACTGATTTCAAGCATCTATATAATACTTAAGCAACAATTACTACACATATATATCTATATATCTATATATCTTCATATACGTTATACACTGAGAGATGTCTTTTAAAAAGTGCTCGAGGGTTGTCGGGTTTGGGAGTTGGAGTTGGAGTGGGGGAGTGCGTTGGCTCCCTTTAAAAGGGTTCACATTCGAATGTTCGTGGCTTTTCTATACATAAGTAATAACATTTTTTACGAGATTCACAGTTTCGATATATCCATGCCAGCTGGCGGGATTAGCTGCCCTTATCATTATCCAGAACATAATTATCATCACACTTGACCAATAATCAAGCAAAGTTATCTACAAATTACGAATACTCTACGGACAAATACTAGTTAACAATGCATAATTTACAATTTCAAAAAAAAAAAAAAGGAAAAAACAACATGAATAATACAAAAAAAAAATACGCTGCAGTGCGAGCTCGTGGGCTGTGTTTGTTTTTGTTGGGGGCGTGGCTTAGGGGTTGATTATTTTTACTGTGTTGTGGGATGGCGCGAGCTAAGAGCTGAAAGCAATAATTGGAAACATTCGCGACGTTTCTAGTTGCCAGCGCCAGCCACAAAGCGCAGCAGCAAGCCGCCAAAGAGGGCAGCCAGCAGGGGCCAGGCGGCCTGCAGCTGATTGCCAGCGCTGGTGTTGGAGCGCACAGCTGCCTGGTCGGGTGCCAGCATGGCTGGTGGCGCCTGGCTGGTGGCCATGGGCGGTGCCATTGGTGCCAGCGGTACCGGCTCAGCGCCGGGTGCAGCAGCTTGCGGCGCTGGTGCCGGATAACAAGCAATTTTCTCCACTTCAATCATTTTGCTGCTGTCAGCCGGATCCGTTTCGTTGACCTTGTGCGGAACGCATATAATGTTGCCCGGTGCGGGTGGTGGTGGTGCTGCTGCTGCTGCGCCAGCCGCATCGGTGCCATTGGCCATGGTCATGTTGGCGCCTTCGGGCGAGAATGGTGCCAGCTGTGCGGGCGCAGCATCGGCTGCGGTTTGGGTGCCATTCACTGGATTAGCAGCTGCGCCAGCGGCATTGATGACAGTGGTGCCATCGCTGGCATTCACTGGCACACCATTGTTGATAATAATGATGCGATCCTGACCGCCAGCTGCAGCTGGTGCCGCAGCCGCGGGCTGCGAGGAGCCGCCGGAAGGTGTCAGCGCATGACCCAGTAAAGCGCCGCCCAGGCCACCGGCGATCAGGCCGGTGCCTAGATGAAAAGTTTGGCATTAATTGCTGTAAATATAAAAATATATATATATATATATTCAATTGACTTACCGAAGCCCAGGCCAGAGGAAGATTGTTGCGGCGGCTGGGCGTAGTAGGTGGCGCCTGGCGGTAGAGCTGAGCCAGACTGGTAGTAAGTGGCGCCTGGTGGCGGTGCTGCAGCCGGATGATAGCCGCCCTGTCCTGGATAAGAGCCACCCGGTTGATAGCCGCCTCCAGGCATATAATTGCCAGATGGATTATAACCGCCAGCGGGCTGTACGCCACCATATTGCTGACCATGATTCTGGTTGGCTGTTATCGGCTGGTGTACATTTCCGCCGGGTGCGGCGCCATAGTTGGGTGCATGATAGGCCGGTGGAGGCTCATGCATGTTGGTATGGCTGCCACCAACCGGATTCGAGGCGGAGTAGGCGGGTGGTGGGCCCTGCGGTACATTCCAGCCAGCGGCGGGCGGGCTATTGGCCGGGCTATTGGCCGGACGATTCGGCTGCGAGTTGTAATTGGGATAGCTCAATTTGGCCACATCGGCGTGGGAGTTGCTGCCTCCATTATTGTTGGCGTTGTAGCTGGGCTGAGTCACATGGCCCGAGTTGCTGCTGGATGAGGTTTTGCGCTGGTTGTTACCCTGGTTACGGCGGGCATCGACAACACCCTCATGCGTCAGCAGAAGAGCAAATATGGTGACGGCAGCAATTGCGCACTTCCCAGCAGAAGCCATCGTCACAGTCGCAGCGTTTAACGATTATCTATATATAGTGCATATACTATATGCTATATACTTGGTGTATGTCTGGCGGCGACGCTGGCAATGACAGTAGCATATAAATTGTTCAAAATAATTATTATTTATTTAGCTGGCGACAGCAAATCATGCGCTCAAAAATACCCCAACGTTAACAATCAAATTCAATATATGTGCATGCTAATTACCAAAACTTGTTTTGCTCGCCCAGTTACGGTTGTTGTTGTTGTTGCTGTTGTTGCTGCTGCTGCTTTATGTTTTGTTTATGCACAATTAGTTTGCGATTTTCACTAGCGCAAGGAACGCGCACGACGACTGCCAAGCGAGGTTTGCAAATGCTGCGAAACTCTCGGCTTGAAACTGGCTGATCAACAATATTATTCAATTTATCGATTCGATACTATACATTCGTTGTTGGCGTTGCCAACTGTTTGCGGCATGGGCCAAAAGTGCGCAGGTCAGGTGAACCCAGTTATCGATATATTTATAACGTTCACTTGTGCAAAACAACTAGAATTTCGTTTGTATTACAACAATTATTATTAACACGTACATTAATATTTCATGTAAAGCACTTCTCTACTTGCAAAACAAATCTTTTTTTAAGAATAACTTTTAAAGTATACTTTTTCATTCATTCACTTATTTATAGAAATTCATTAATTTCTAATACCTTGTTGGAAAAATATAGCTTCCAGTATGAATACGACAGCTATTTATTATTAGATTGTCATTTATGAAGAAAGGAAAAATGGAAAAATTAATTCATCCTAATTAAAGTTTTAACAAACTCCTAATTAAATTCAGTTGCAAATAATTATATAAAAAAGTTTTCAAGTCAACTGAATTACATGCTACATCTACTATAACCTTATCTTTTTTTGCCAAGAATAGTTGGCAACGCCAGCAACTGCCACCGACTACAATTGAGATGCAGTTGAGTGCACATCGATAATACATCGACAAAAAAAACATCGTCAATCGATATATCGAATATGGAATATCAACAATCTAGCCGGCAACGGTAATAACTTTGCCACACATATAAATATTTAGAACCAAAGTGCATACATTTATTGACGATTGCAATCAAAATAGTAGCTGCTGCCAATTGCGCATTAGCTATAATTTAATTGAAGTGAAAACGTACGCTGCACGCAAGGGGACTGGCTAAGGGGCAGGTCCGCCAGCAACGTGGGAGTACGTGGCAATGACGATGATGTTGCCGTCAATGGGCAACAATTAATAATTCTTAGCTAATTTACAATAATTATAAACTGGACTGTGTCGAATTTAATTGCCACTAGTAGCAATGACTGCCACGTTACGTTACCGTGGCGACAAGAGCAATTTGCTCGAGTTTGCCAAGAATCTCGATGCCTTCAAAAAGGTGCCTGAGAAGTACACGGAGACCACGGAAATCGGCGGCACACGTGAGCATCCAAATTTGCTATAGCTCACTCTCAATCTTTCTCTGTCGATGTTAACCTAATGTCATTTCTTACATAGTCTCGCTGCTGAGCCGCCTGCTCATCGTGTACCTCGTTTATACGGAGCTGCGTTATTACTGGAACGAGACGGAAATCATTTATCAATTTGAGCCGGACATGGCGCTGGATGAGCAGGTGCAGATGCATCTGGATATTACGGTGGCCATGCCCTGCGCCTCGCTCTCCGGCGTTGATCTGATGGATGAGACGCAGCAGGATGTTTTTGCGTATGGCACACTGCAACGCGAGGGCGTCTGGTGGCAAATGTCGGATGCGGATCGCCGTCACTTTCAGTCCATGCAGATGACCAATCACTATTTGCGCGAAGAATATCACTCTGTGGCTGACATACTCTTCAAGGATATACTGCGCGAGCGGACACCCACAAAGGAGAGCGAAACACATGCTGCGACGCCAGCTGCTGCTGCTGCTGCTGCACCTCCGCCGCCGGGCGCACTGCAGCAGCCACAACAAGCGGCACAGCTGGAGTCCAAATACGATGCATGTCGGCTGCACGGCACGCTGGGCATAAATAAGGTCGCCGGCGTTCTCCATTTGGTGGGTGGCGCACAGCCCGTAGTTGGCATGTTTGAGGATCACTGGATGATTGAGTTTCGCCGCATGCCGGCCAACTTTACGCATCGCATCAATCGTCTGAGCTTTGGCCAGTATTCGCGGCGCATTGTACAGCCGCTGGAGGGCGATGAGACCATCATACGCGAGGAAGCGACCACGGTGCAGTACTTCCTCAAGGTGGTGCCGACGGAAATACAGCATACGTTTAGCACAATAAGCACATTCCAATATGCCGTCACTGAGAACGTGCGTAAGCTAGGCAAGTTCCAGCTGCTGCATCGGTGCTCTGACTATATCTAACTGAACTTTCGTTTGTCCCACAGATTCCGAGCGTAATTCGTACGGCTCACCGGGCATTTACTTCAAATACGATTGGTCCGCTTTGAAGATTGTTGTCAGCCACGATCGCGACTATTTGCTGACCTTTGTCATACGCCTCTGCTCCATTATATCGGGCATTATAGTTATATCCGGTGCTGTGAATGCGCTGCTGTTGGGCCTACAGCGTCGCCTGCTGCGCTTCTTTGCGCCGCAGCTTTACCAGCGCCTGCCTGGGCCGCCGCCCACAGTCAGCGTGGCCAGTGTGCCGGCAACGGCAACGGCGCCGCCAACAGTTCCGGTTAACGAGCTGCTCAGCACCGCCAATCTGATGGCCAATGTGGATATATCCGCTTATCTGCCAACGGCGGCGGCGAGCAAGTCTGATTTCTAGCGCTGGCCCCGGGCCACGAAAGGCCAAACCTAATCTCCGTTCAATCAATTTCAAATTCCCTTTTATTATAATGCTACAAATCAAATTTATCCATTTGCTGTTTAAACATAATTAATAATATTAAGCCAAAAAAAAAAAAAAAAAAAAACACAAATATGAAATGACCTGTACATACAAAAATATACATAAATGTTATATATAATATATATATGTGAGATATATATATATAAATATTGAAATTTATGCATATATCGATCACTGTTCACGTCCCAGTATGCCCGTGTCCAGGTTGCTGTAGTAGCGCGCACCGGAACGCCTATAGCCGAACATGCTCTTCAGTATCTCCAAGCCGGAGTCGACGGTGGTGCGCACATCACGTTCGCTGCCCAGCTTCGGATTGATCTCAACCAGATCCATGCCCTGGACACGCTTGGTGTCCCGCAGCGCCTCCACGATGCTGATGCCCTCGCGCAGCGTTAGGCCGCCGCGGACTGCGGTGCCCGTGCTGGGCGCCACATTGCTGTCCAGCGCATCGATATCGAAGCTAACATGAATCTTGTTCAGCGGACTCAGTGCGTCCAGCGTCATCTCAATGATCTTGGGCACGCCCACGCGATCGATGGCCTTTTGGAAGAAACATTGCATATCGTTAAGGAATCTTTCAAATATAGATCAAATAGATTTTATACTTGTATATAATATTGACATAAGATCTATGCTAGAACGTTTATGATTATGTTTTACAAAAGAAAATGTGTTGAATATGTTATCTACGATGTGTTACACAGCTCATTAGAAAAGTATAATGGCCGTACTGCAAAAGTTTTGCATCTAACGGCACTTAAAGCTTGAAAGCTTCGCTCAACGGCGATTGGTGCATCGCTTGAGCTTCCATTGCCCGGCGCCAGCGGCGGCGGCAATTGGCAACAAGAACAAGCACAAAAAGCGAAGAGAAGAGAAAAGAGAAAAGAGAAACTAGGTACAGTTAATGCGATTCTGTGGCACATTTGGACCAAACTAATGAGCTATAATAAATTTGCAGCTCGGAACGATTAAACCATTTTTCAACAGACGTCGATTTTGCACGAGCCATAAATAATGGCTGGCAACAAGGATACGCCGGATGCGAACGGATGTGGCCGAGCACGTAGCAACCACCCGTCGCCTGCGATCGGAAGTTGCCAGCGCGAATGTAACGATCAGAGGGGGAGAGGGGAGGCGGGGAGGGGGGGGGGTAGGCCCTGCTGACGGTAAGGAGGGGAGGTATTTGCACTAGGGAGTGTCCTGTGTAACTTTGCCGGCTGCAGAAGGGTGCAGCTAGATTCAATTTCTCAGCCCGAGACACGACCACGGCCAACCCCTATAAATGCCGAGCTTACATTTACAACGCACACACACACGCACACGCACACGATATGGTGTGTGCGCATGTGTGTGTGTGTGTGTGTGTGTCTGTAATTCTGTTGAGGCTGTCACGCACGATCGTCATTTGATCCTTTTGCTGCCCGAAAACCGGAATTTTACAATTTTTACAAGCAGCCACAAAAGAACGCACAACGATCGCGAGTATGTCTCTCTGTGTGTGTGTGCATGTGTGCGTGTGCGTGTGTGTGTGTGTGTACTCATTCTACTTACATCCATGGCATAGTAGCGTATTCCAAATTTGTTCAATATAAACGCCTCGTAGGGGTCAATGTCCCTCAAGCCAATGTAAACCAATTGATCCTTCGGCAAACTGAAATGAGTCACAAAATAGAAAAGCGTGTGAAATAAAGACAAAGAGAAAGCGTGAGAATGAGTGTGTGAGAGAGAGAGAGAGGGGAGAGAGAGAGAGTGAGCTCCACAGCTGTGGAGCATGTGAAGCCCAACAAGCGCAACTTTTGGAGGTTATGTTCGGGCTGCTTGCCTATTTTGAGGTTAGGTCGCATTTTACAGTTGTAAAATGCGCCTGAAGCCCAATAAGCGCTGCATTTTGAGGTTATGTTCGAGTAGCGTAAAGATATTGAGGTTAGGTCGCATATATGTAAGTGAGAATGCCGCTTTTTAGGTTATGTAAGCGAATATATCGCATATAAAGCTAGAAATGCCTTGCTCGAAAATATTCAATCAATCAGCAACTGCTGCAAATGCATGTGATTGTCAGCTCAGATGCTGATTAGTAAGCCAGGTGGCCGCTGGCAGCCGTGATCCAGCGACAGGACTCTACATTGAGCACTGAACTGTGCCAAAGGCAACACAACAAATTGACAGTGAGACAGAGAGAGAGAGGGGGAGAGGGGGAGAGGGATGGAGGGAGGAATGTCGAGAAGAACGGAAACACATGCCACAATTAAAATGGCACAGCAGCGTATCCTGCGTCCCTTCGCGTCCCTCTCTCTCACTCTCTCTCTCTCTCTCTCTCTCTCTCTCTGGCCAACTCTCACTCTCGCCCTCAACGATCGGGTTTTCGCTCTCGGTGTCTTATGGTAATTTTTATGATTATTATTATTATTATTATTAGTTTCGGGAAAAAGTGCATCTGTCGATCGTTGTGTGCAGCGAGACGTGCAAAGTTGAAAGCGCCCCGAAGGACCCTTATGTAAATGTAAATGTGCCGCCCCTCAAGGCAGCTCGCCGTGGGTTGGGAAAAGGAGGGGGGGAGGGGTGGAGGGATGAATCATGACCAGTCCGACCAGCCCGATCCTGCGGCTGCTTCTAGCCTTTCTTCTGGCCGAGACATTGGTGCAGTGCCTGCAGCAGTTCATGTTATTGTTTTTTGTAGTTTTTGTAGTTTCTGTTTAACCAAAGTACATCGGCCAAATCGTAAATCGCTTAAGGGTGCGCCCAGTTTGCCCAGTTTTGCTGCAACCCCCAAAAATGTGCCGTCTTCTTCTTCTTCTTGTTGCTGCTGCCGTTGTTGTTGTTGTTGTTGTCAACTTACGTTGGCTGCTATTTTAATCCGGCTTTTTTGTAATGCGGCCAAGGTGCTGGCACAATGCGCTTTGTTTTCGCCAGAGCCAAAGGATTAAGCATGCTCCCGTGCCCATTCCCATTCCCATTCCCATTCCCATTCCCATTCCCATGCCCATTCCCCTGCACGAGTCCTTTTTTTTGTTATTATCGCCAGGCCCAAGTCGATGTCCATTTCGATTTGCTGCAATCTGGCAGCACTGCGGGAAATGTGTTGCATACTGCGTGGCGCTAACAATGATTGAGATGGACAGAGAGCGAGACAGAGCGAGACAGAGAGAGACAGAGAGAGAGAGAGAGAGGGGGGGGAGAGGGGGAGAGGGGGAGAGCGAGCGAGAGCTTGAGCTCCAAGCACGTGGCCCGGCCACACAGCGTCCACGCACACACACACACACACACACGCACACACACGCACACACACACACGCACACACACGCGCTCTGTGGACATGTGAGCAGCATGCGTCAGCAGAAACAATAGTTGGCGCAAATTAATTATTATCACAAATACTTATCGCCATGCAAATAAATAGGTAAATATGTATGTACATATATACATTATATATACTTGTGTCTATATACAGTGAAGGCTCACGTGAGCGAACAAATTGCCTACTTAAAGAAATTAAGCAGAACTGATCAAACAAACACTTTTTATTCGCACTATTATGTTTATACTTTTTTATACTATATAAAATAAAGACGAAAAATGTATATTGAAAAACTTTTATATTTTGTTTTCAAAAAATTGCTTATTGTTGATAGATAGTTGATAGTTGTAAGTCATATTTACGCAAACATTTTTCTCAACAATTAAAAAAAAAAAAATGTAGGGCTATTTTAGTTGTGGGTTCGGCTAAAGGTGAAGTCTGCGCAACATAGATGTCCGTTAGTAGAGCTTTCACTGTACATACATGAGTGTAGAGTATACATACATGTATGCATATATGTACATACATACATATATACACAAACATGCATAGTTTAATGCTGAATGCTAATCGGCAGCTCACACTTGGCCCAGCCATACAGACACACATACATGTATATGTACATATATTCACATATATACACAAATACTTATGTGCATAAATTATGGTTATCTTGCACAGGATATGGCAACGGGCAAACACTTGCGCGCCGCCGATCTGTCTCGTCTGGCCACCCCCTTCGGCAACGGCTGACCGTCTGGCAACCCAAATCTCAAAAATAAAAAGAGCCCAAAAACCACCCCAGCGCAAAAAGTTGAGTTACATTTTTATGTTTTTGCGAGTAGCAACAACAAAAACAACAATAACAATGTGTTCACTGCGTGTAAATTGGAACAGACACGCGGCGGCACATTTGTAATGTTGTGCCATAAAAATCAGCACATGGAAACCGGTGGGCAGCACAGAACAGGAAGCGTACATACACACAGGCATACAAACATACATACATACATGATGAATACAAGCGCAATTAAGCACACGCACGCACGCACGCATGCCACAAACCCTGCCCAAGTCCAAAAAACTCGCTAGACAGGCGCTTGGCTTCAAGTTGGGCCGGCTGTAGGGGGTGTACGCTGTACAGAAAACAACCCTGGCGTTGGTGGTTGCAGTGCAAAACATACACACACACACAAACAAACACACAAACACGCCAAACAGCCCTCGCGCCTGGCAAGGATAATATGCATGCGAAGAGAGTGAAAAGAGAGCGGTTGCCAGCATAGAAACACAGCATCATAAAACGGTTGACGACCTCATATCTATAAAGCACAATTTGTGAATTTCCAAAATTCATATTCTCTGTATTTTACATTTTATATTCAAATTAAAAGTTAAGCGCAATTTCGCCATTCACTAAACGATCACGTTTGCAACATTCTGGCAACACTTTTTTTTGACTGTTTGTGGGCGTTCGTTTGATCGAGCTGTATGACAGACATGCTTGCTGGCATGGGCACACATAATTCCAGGCTGCTGGAATGACAGCTCCATGAATACGAACAGCAGCCATTTTGAATTTGTTATATATTCACAAATATGTGTCTTTGATTAAGTCATGGCTCTCAAATTTAAAATATCGCTCTGAATAAAATATATATTTTGTAACAGTATAAGTTTATTTGATTAAACAACGAGCGGTCTCAGTTATTTGTATCAAAAGGAGATTCTCTATAGCAGATCACCCACCCGGTTTAACGAAGTCAGAGTCGATTTGCCACAGAGACAGGAGCCGATTACCTGAGAGAGAGATAGAGAGAGAGAGAGAGAGAGAGTGCATCCACAGAGAAAATTCGCATTGAGCATACGAAAACAAAGCAGGAAAAACAGCAGCAGCAACAACAACAACAACAACGGCTGGTCAACAAAACGAATGTGCTTCCACTCGCTTGCTCTCGCTCTCCCTCGCTCACGTATTCTGGTCGCTCTCCCTCTCTCGTGTTCGCTTCATAGAAATCGACACATGCACATACATACGTAGCGTATGCGTGTGTATATATTCTCGTTGAGGGTAGCAAGGTTTGTGTTTGCGTTCGCATTCGCGTCATTTTCATTTCCACGCTAGACGTTGTACGCCGCAGTACGTTTGAACGCTCGTGTGCGCTGCCTCAGCTCGTGTGCTCAGCTCATTTTGCAATTGATTTTTTATTTTTTTTTTTGAAAAAAAGTAATGAAAACACCGACGACAAAAGTTTATAATTGTTAAAATAAAATATACGCATTGCCATAGAAAACTACGTAAAGTGCAAGAACAACAACAACAATACCACCAACAATATCAGCAAAAACAACAACAGTAGCAGCCGCAACAAAACGTAAGCGTAACGTATAACAACGACAACAACAAAACGCTACAAAAAAATGCTACGAAAATTGCCAAACGATCGCTACGCGGTGCATAATTGTGCAATTATACACATCCATACATATACATACTTGTGTATTTTTTGTTGTTGCTTTTAAGTGTGTGTACCTGTGTATGTGTGTGTGTGTGGAACTATTTGATACATGTATGCAAAATTACAATATGCAATGGGTATGGAAAAACGTAGACAAGACGCAAAGACTACAAACGGCAGCGCCAAACAGTTCAACAAACTCAAAAGAGAGGCAAAGAGGCAAACGATCGGTTCCGAGAGGGCTGGAAGGCGGTGCTGGGCAACTAGACAAAAAGTAGTAGTAGTATAAGCCGTTGTAGTAGTAACCGTCGTAGTAGTTATAGTTGTTGTGCGTTAAAATCTACTGCTAAATGCCGCATTGCTGCCGCAGCGTGCTCGTTCTCTCTCACTCTGTCTTTCTGTGCTGTGTATCTGTAAAACGGGCGCTATGTGTGTGTGTACTCTGCTGCTGTCTGTCTGTGTAGCTGTGTGAGTGGCAAAAAGGGCGCAGCTAGCATATCGATTTTATGTGGAAGGAGCATTGTACGCCGACAACCAACGACTACAACTACAACACCAGCGGCAAATAGTAGTAGACTCTTATCGTAAGAACTCGCTCTTGATTTTACTGCAGTGACTGAGAACGTTTGCTGAACATAGTAAACAAAACGCCGGTTGCCATAAATAAATTAGTAAACTGCAAACAAAACGTTAACGTTAAGCTAAAGTTCTTTTTATGCCAAAGTGGTAATAGTAGTAGTATTAGCTGTCACAATGTAGTGTTTTGTTGCCACAGCAACACTCTGAACTAAACAAATTGTAGTTCGGGGAATACGGAGAGAATTGCGCGGAAATACAAATTAGAACAATTCAACGGCAAACAGTAATAACAAACGCTACGGCAGTGTATAAATCTATACTTTTTGTTATTTCGTTTTTTGTTTTACTTTTTGTTTTTAAATTAAGCAAGAACAACAACAACAAAAGCAGCGCGTGTTTTAATTTAATAAGCGCGTCGTCTAGCAACAACAAAAAGCTTATAGATACTAAGTGCGTCGGTGTGTGTGTTTGCAAACATGTATGCATATTCATATGTATGGGTGGTAAAATATGCGCGCTAGTTAAAATATATACATATAAACAACAACAACAACAACAAAACCAACAACAATGCAGGGAACTGCCATACATTGTATGGCAAAAGGGAGTAAGAGCAAAGGCGGTGGGTGCTCGCTCCGCTCTCTTCCCAATAGCGCTCGCAATAAATTAGCACAGTGGCAGAGACGCAGCAGAAACTGAGAGATACTGTTATAATCATCAGTATTGAAAAAAAAAAACAAAAAGAAAACAAACGCAAAATTACAACAACAGCAACACATACACATTGTCCGAAATTGTGTAACAAAACGTTTGCGTCGATTTGTTTTAAATAGTAAAATATGAATTTATATACATGTATTTATACGTACACACATATGTGTGCATGCATGCGCGCAGAATTCGGCAAAAATCTATGCCTTTTTGCTGTTGTTGTTGTTGTTGTTGTAACTTAGGTTTTTGGGAAAAATCGATAAAATCGATAAATACGATAACACCAACGCTCAATGGCAAAGACGTGCAGTTAAATTTACCGCTTTTTTGTTTTTGGTTCTTATCTATACTCTTTTTTCCATACAACAATAGACGACGACGACGACGACGACGATACAACACCAGCGTTTGTTTAATTATTAGCAACAAAATAGCCGCAATTATAGCCAACAATAAAAACGAAACGCAAGTATAGGACATATCCTGGACATAGTGAGGGAAACCCATTGTCCAGCAGACTGCTAACTAATCAAGGTGTGCAGCAGGAGGTGAGAAAGAGGAAATCAAAAGAATCAGCGCCGTGTAGAGCGCGCGCGCGTCAAGAAATCAAATCAAATTTGTTTGGCAAACACAAAATAGCAACATTTTAATCGAAACAAGTGAGTATTTAAACAAATGCATATATAACTGTAAACGGTGTGATGTGTGTGTGTGTGTGACTGAGTGAGCGAGTGTGTGTATGTGTGACTGAGTGAGCGAGTGTGTGTGTGTGTTTGTGTGCGTGGAAAGGATAAGGATGAGCGGTCATTCCAGACATTTTGAAATCTCAGTTGTCATGGAAATTGAGAAGAGAGAATACGCGCTCTGCTTTTTGGCATGTGGGCGTGCAAATATGTATCGGCTTATGTTTGCATGTGTGTGTGTGTGTGCGTACGTACGTACGTACGTACGTTAGTTAGTTTTTGTTTGACCTTTTGACTTGTGTGTGTCGCGTGAGAGACGCTGCCAACAGCAACCACCCAAAGTGCAAGTTCACAGATCATGCAGCAGCCGTTGCCGCAGCGTTGCCAGACTGTTGAAAACGAAAAAAAAAACAACACGCACATGCCGATTTGTTTGTTAAAACAAAGGGGGTGGCATTGTTCTTGCCGCTGCTGTATTTAACCCTCAGGCGAGCCCAGCTTACGTATTGTTGTATGCACTGCGTTTGTATGTATGTATGTGTGTGTGTGTGTGCTAGTAATTTTTGCAAAAGCAATATTATAACTTGTTTTTGGTTTTAAGGGTTGCTACGTTTCACTATTGCACAGACACGCACACACACATATACACGGGGCGGGTGGGTTAGCTCGATTTTGGATGGGCGCACGCTTCACGGCGGATGCTCATTTTTAGTTTTCAATTTCTTTTTGTTGCTTTACGGCTTTTTTTCATAAGGGGTATGTCCTGCTGCTGCTGCTGCTGCTGCGTGTAGAGTTCGTTGCCTGCCGCTGTGCGTGTGTGTGTATGTATGTGTGCCTGTATATATGTATTACATAACTGGGTTTGGCCGGGTACGTGCTTTGTTACAACTTCCAACAAAAACAACAACAACAACAGCAGCAGCAGCAGCAGCAGCAATGTTAACGACAGCCGGAACAGGAGCGGTTACAGGACGAGAGACGCTAACGCCAGCATGGCACGAAAGCCCTGCAAGGACCTGCGCTCAGTAGCATCGCGTGCTTGCGACGTAGCGGGTCTCGCAGCGGCAACGGCAACGTCAACGGCAATTCCAAAAAAGCTCAGCGCAACAAAAACTCTCCAACGTCAACACAAACGCTCTCTGACCTCCTCCCACGCGCAGCTCTAGAGGTGTGTTCGTGTCTTGTGTCTCTGAGCCTCCATATCTGTCTGTGTCTGTGTGTTTAATGTGCATTTTTGTCTGTGCCTGAGATTAAAATCACACTCTTATCCGCCCGCTCTCGTTCCTGCTCAGTGACTGCCTGTCTCTCTCACTCTCTATTTGTGTGTGTGTGTGTGTGTGCGTGTGTGTGACTGCTAAGGCAAAAATAAGTTGCCGCTGAAGTGGGCCGCAGGGCGGCGCCACTGTGCAAATCCTCTGCTAATCTTTCAGCGTTAACTAAACTTAGCTGTACTTAATGTAAATTAATAACAAGGTATTTGGCTTGCCGAAGATTTAATACCCTTGCAGATTTGCGAATAATTCTAACAATGTGCTGAGTGATTCATTTTGTGGAAAAACTTAAAGAATTGACTCAAGCAAATTAGTGTCGAGTTTCTGAAAAGCTTTTTATACCTCGTTAATTCTTAAATGGATTATTACTTAGTTATTCGAGCTTGATAAGTTTTTAACAAATTATTCAAATTAAAATTGAGCTTCTTGTTGGGGATTTGAGTAAAGTATCTTTGAAAATAAAAAATGTTCCTTTTCATATATATTTGAGAGTATTTATTCTAATGGGAGTTCTGCGAATATAGAAGTATGTCTAGTTATAATCAGCAGCTAAAAGCTGAGTCGGTTTATTAAAATTTGATAAATATATGACAAGGTTTGAACAAAAGCAGGCTGAACCAGAGTGTGGAAAAGCAGCTTCTTGAGCTAGGCGACTAGCAGATACCCTACCCTACCTACGGCGTCGAGTTGCCTTTACAAGCATTTGAAGCTACATATATATATATATACATATATACACGGGCTGTGCTTCTTCTTATCGTAGCCTTTGGGAAAGGGTCTTCAGTATATTGGTTCGGTGCTTACAGTCCGATCCTTATGAAACTTAACGTGCCCAAATATGGCCCCCAACTCTATGAGTATATCAAAGCTTATTAAATTATTATCAGCATATACCATAAAAAATCATGTCTTAAAATCGATATTTATCGATATGATGATCGACAAGATATTATAAATTATTCTAAAATTGGGTGTAGATATCGACAAGAAATGATAAACTCGTTCTGTGTATGATATACTAGAATATATATATATATAGAACTCAGGTCTCAGGTCTTTCATACAGGAACGTATTTACACAGACAAATAGATATGCCCGCTTTTAGGGTATACAAAAGAGGAGAACGCAAGCTTAAGATTATTCCCATAGAGAGTATTTGTGTTGTGATATACTATCAATCGCGACTTGAACCTGAACCGAAACCCAAAACGAAATGATGCCCGCTTTTAGGGTATACAAAAGAGGAGAACGCAAGCCTAAGATTATTCCCATAAAGCGTCCATCTATTTAGTATATGTATGCACGTTCACTGCAAGGGTAGTTGGGTATATTAATGGGGAGGTAGTTGTATTTAATTAGAACTAACTGCTACTAACACACTTGGCAAATGGTTTAATCTTGACATTTAATCCTCTTCATTTTCCATGTGCTGCGCCTGCGTTGGTCTCCTCCTTCTCCTTCTCCTCCTCCTCCGACGACGACAACAACAACAACAATTGCAATTGGCGACAATTCAGTGGACTTTATGATGGCAAACACGGGCGCCACCGGCGTGGATACACAGGCGCAGCTAATGCAGAGCGCTGCCGCGGCGGCTGCTGTTGCCGCAACAAATGCGGCCGCGCCCGTTCAGAGTGCAGCGGCCGTGGCCGCCGCCGCCCAGCTGCAGCAGCAGCAGCAACAGGTGCAGCAGGCGATACTGCAAGTGCAGCAGCAGCAGACACAGCAAGCGGTTGCCGCAGCGGCCGCAGCCGTCACGCAGCAACTGCAGCAGCAACAGCAGGCGGTTGTCCAGCAAGCGGTTGTCCAGCAGCAGCAGGTCGTGCAGCAGCAGCAGCAGCAGCAGCAGGTGCAGCAAGTCCAGCAGGCAGTTGTTGCCGTACAGCAACAGCAACAGCAGCAGCAGCAGCAGGTCGTGCAACAGCAGCAGCAGCAGGTCGTGCAGCAGCAGGTCGTGCAACAGCAGGTGCAGCAGCAGCAGGTCGTGCAACAGCAGGTGCAGCAGCAGCAGGTCGTGCAGCAGGCGAACACGAATGGCAACTCGGGCGGCGCACAGAACGGCAGCAATGGCAGCACAGAGACGCGCACAAATCTGATTGTCAACTATTTGCCACAGACAATGACGGAGGATGAGATACGCTCGCTGTTCAGCAGCGTTGGCGAAATAGAGTCCGTCAAGCTGATACGCGACAAATCGCAGGTGTACATAGATCCGCTCAATCCGCAGGCGCCCAGCAAGGGCCAGAGTCTCGGCTATGGTTTTGTCAACTATGTGCGTCCCCAGGATGCGGAGCAGGCCGTCAATGTTCTGAATGGCCTGCGGCTGCAAAATAAAACGATTAAGGTCTCGTTCGCACGACCCTCATCGGATGCCATCAAGGGCGCCAATCTGTATGTGTCGGGCCTGCCAAAGACGATGACCCAACAGGAGCTGGAGGCCATATTTGCGCCATTCGGCGCCATCATAACGTCGCGCATCCTACAGAATGCCGGCAATGATACGCAGACCAAGGGCGTCGGTTTTATACGGTTCGATAAGCGCGAGGAGGCGACCCGTGCGATTATTGCCTTAAATGGCACCACGCCCAGCAGCTGCACCGATCCGATTGTGGTGAAATTCTCAAACACGCCCGGCAGCACCAGCAAGATCATCCAGCCGCAATTGCCCGCATTCCTCAATCCGCAGCTGGTGCGACGAATTGGCGGCGCAATGCACACGCCCGTCAATAAGGGACTGGCCCGTTTCTCACCGATGGCCGGCGATATGCTGGACGTGATGCTGCCGAATGGCCTCGGCGCCGCTGCGGCGGCAGCGACAACGCTGGCCAGCGGACCCGGCGGCGCATATCCCATATTTATATATAATCTGGCGCCCGAAACGGAGGAGGCGGCGCTCTGGCAGCTGTTCGGCCCCTTCGGCGCTGTGCAATCGGTGAAGATCGTCAAGGATCCCACAACGAATCAGTGCAAAGGCTATGGCTTTGTCTCCATGACCAACTACGACGAGGCAGCCATGGCCATCCGGGCACTCAATGGCTACACCATGGGCAATCGCGTGCTGCAGGTCAGCTTTAAGACCAACAAGGCCAAGTAAAGTTTTCTGTGTGCGTATGGAAAGCCGCCAAACGACACCAAGGAGCAGCCAGCCGGAGTGCAACTACACACACACACACACACACCCACACACACATACTTATCTAGTTTATACAACCACACACACACACACACACACACACTCACACTCACTTATACATATATATAAATATGCATGGTCTTACGATAACTAAGCGCAACAACAATGCCTGTGTATAACACACACACACACAAACACACCTTCACACACAAACAAACACACCTTCACACACACACACAATGCATCGTTTTGTGGAGCGTGTCGTCTGGCTAAAGAATCGCGTCTAAACAACGAAACGACGGCCCGAAACGCCGGCCGTTGCAATAGCAAAATTCTTGTTTAGCATTTAAGTAAAACTCGAAGAACATAAAACCAAAAGCTAAACTTAACTAAACTAAACTTTAAAAAAAAAAACGTACGTGTCGAATGCAATATTTAAACAAATCGAAGAAAAAAAAAACAGCTGACGGCTTTTATTGAGCGCCCGAGCAGGGACGAGCCGCAGTCGAATTAGCCGCAAAAAGTAAAAAAAAAAAAAAACTAAACAAAGAAATCAACAAAACAATTATGAGAAAAATCACAAAAAAAAACAAAAAGAAAAACTCGAAAAAAACTAAGATTTAATTAAAAGAAATTAACCTAGCGAAAAGAGATAAACAATTTTTAAAATTATAACTAAGTAAGCAGCAATGAAATCTTCCAGTAACAAAATGAGAAACAAAACACACAAAAAACAATACGTAAAACAAAACAAAACAAACAACAACAACAACAAACCAAAAGCTGTTAATTACACTCCAATTTTTCTACAAAAACAGAATGTGTGTGAGTAAGAAAAAAACAACAACAAACAAGAAAGCCGCAACTTTTCTCGCAGTGTAGCGTCGGGGCCGTTAGTTTTTGTCTTTGTTTTCCCAACAGGCTGACAAAAAGTATTTAAAAACAAAAAACAAAAAAAAAACATATTAAGCATAAACACAAGGAGGCTGCTACAGTATTAACAAAAAAAAAACAATAAGAAAACGAAACGAATTATATATACACCACCCATATATATATATATATATATACATATATATGCACGTATGTGTGTGTGTGTGTATGTGTGGTATATACATTTTAATGTTTTGTGTTTGTTTTTCATAACTTTAACTTAACGAAAGCCAAGCGAAAGCAACAGAACTAACGGCCGACTCGCTCTCTCTCTCTCTCTCTCTCTCTCTATCTATCTATCTCACACACACACACGCAGCTAGAAATTTCGGGACAAGTGTGCAACAGCAAAAGAAAAAGAAAACTGTGCAGAAAGTAAGGTTAGAACGAAGTTAGAAAGCAGAGAAGAAAACGCAAAAGTAATACAATAATTTATGCGCAAATTTGAAACGTTTTACTAAAGTAAATAATTGTTAGTGAATCTTATACTATAATATTTATACATACGCATATATATGTGTATCTACATAGATGTATGTCTATATATATACACATATATACCTTATATACTTTATATAATGTATAGTTCAAGCCAGCAAGTATCCAATTGCTAATATTTTTAGCGTTAAAAATATAAAAGATGAAGCAAGCGTAGCACAAAAACAAAACAAACAACAAAACTCAGTACGAAACAAGAACAACAACATTTTTTATATGGCAAAAAGTTTGACAAAACCGAAAAAAGAAAACAAAAAAAAAACCAAAAAAATAATCATTAGCAAAGCGTTTTTCTAGCCATGTAAGTGAACTTTTTGTTAAAAACCTAAAACTTAAAAAAAAAAAAAAAGAAGCGAAGTAAACTCTTGACAAAAAAAGAAAAAGAAAAGAAAAGAAACACGCAGTAAATGTAAAAACGAACCATTCAAGTCGATGGTTTTTGCCCGCTGTCTAGAAACAAGCGAGAAACACGCACTGTACACAATAATATGGCACACCACTGTATACAGCGGCATGCCAAGCGGTGAGGCATCGCGCAACGCTTGCCACTGCATACAGTAGCGTGCCAGCCATTGAGCACAGTGCCGCAACATACCGTACAGTAGTGTATAGTGTATATAGCACCGTACAGCACAGCATTTACAGTGGCCTCGAGAGTATTGGGTAAACTATAGACGACATGAACAACTACAACAATTACCCATGCTTAATGGGCAACCATCGTATATACTAATCCTCTTTCCACCCCGCCCCGCCCACACAATTGAATTTGTGAAATTTGGTTTTGCGTTTTGCGTTTTATCAGTTGAAAACTCGTGAGTTACAATTTAATTATCTTTGGCTTCATTTTGCGACCTACAATTTTAGATATTGCAAAAGTTTATGTTTCAATTGGATTTTGGTATAAACAGCTCCTCTATGCGTTTTGTATGATTTCTTTGTTTCTTTAACAATATTTACAACAACAACAACAACAACAACAAGATCAAATGCGCTCGTAGTTTATTAGAGCCATGCATATTTATTTAATGTATATTTAACTAAAAGAGAGACTTATAAAACATGTTTCTGATTTCATTATTATGTACGAAAAACCAAACTTATCTATGTCTATTAATTTCGATAATGATTTTCTCTTTATAGTAGATACAATATATCTATTTACATATATATAGTAACAATTAATTTATGTCACACACACACACACACACACACACACACTGAAACACAAAGAAAAACCTTAAAGAAGAAGATCCTTAGCAAAAAGCAAACATTATTATGGAAATGCTAAAGAACAGAGGGCAAGAAAAGCTTATGTATAAACAATATTCATAATTATTTTTATTTTATTTAATTTTTTTTTCTTAATTATAGGCAAAAACAAAAACCATATTTTTTTGTTTGAACAAAATTTGCAACAAGAAATCTAGTCAGCAAACTAAGCTAGCAGAAGAAGAAGAAGAAGGAGAAGAAGAAGAACATAATGTAGAAGAGGCAGACGCAAAAAACAAAAAAAAAACAAAACAAGTCGAAAATGTAGGCAAAAAGCAAACAAATACAAATATTAATAAAATATTTTCAATATACAATACGAATAAAGCAAATTTATATTAATATATTCTAATTAAATATACCATTAACTAACATATAGCAAAGAGTTTACTCTCAATTAGCAGTTGGAAGAAGAAGAAGAAGAAGAAGAAGCAAATCCTAAAAGCAACAACATGTCTAACAGCTACACGAAGTTGCCACCCTTCAAGAAAAACAGAAAACAAAAAACAAAAAACAAGAAAGAAAAACCGATACTATACAAATTAAAAATCTAGCTAAAATTTAAGCATAGCAAAATTGAACGCGATAGCCTAAAACCCAAGAAAAAAAGAAAACTGTCTTGAAAATTTTCAATTTTTTTTCTCACACACACACACACACACACACACACATGTACACGAAACGAAATTATAATTTATGTAATAGTTTTCTCTCTCTATATATATATATATAATTTTTTTCTGTTTTTTTTTTTCTTGTAATATCGAAATATCCAAAGATTTATTTTCTTTATACTTATATGTATACAAACACTGAACGTATATTATGTATTATGCCCCCCTCCCCCTGCCCCCGTAACTGTATCAATTTCTTTAACGAAAAAAGAGCGCGAGAGCGCAAAACGCAAAAGAGAGAGCGAGCGAGAGAGCGCAGAGAGCGTCTGCTGCGACTTATTCTTTTGCCTTTTGCAGGCTGCGCTGAAATTTGCAATAATTCTTGCTAGTTTTATGTATGTGTATGTACATATGCATGTACATGTAAATGTATATGTATGCGTATAGCTAAGGAGCAAAAAAAAAAAAAAAAAAAAAAATGAAAAACTGAAAGCAAACAAACTTTAAACATTAAGTGGAAATGATGTACTTGATTTTGTTTAATTTATTTGTCAAACCTTAAAGAACTTTATTTATAATTTGTATTTTATTTAATTTTTCGAACATTTAATTAATTATGTAATTCTAATATTGTGCAATAGTTTTAAAATGCAGCAGCAGCAGCAACAACAACAACAACAACAACAAAACATGCATCTCAGCTTAATTACAATTATAATTTCCTTAAGTAAAAAAAAAAAAACAAAAAAAAACTCAAAAAAAAAAGTAAATGAAACGCAAATTGATAAGTTGAGGCGAACGGAACATTTATGTTTATGTAATTTAAAACATATTAATATTATTATACAACAACAATATATAACAATTATTTTTTTCGTGTAATTTTTCGTATTTAAGCAAATTTGATATATATATATATATATATATATATATACACATAATTTTTTTCGTAAACTTTAAGTAAAAAACAAAAAACCAAGCAAACAACAACAGAAACAAAAAGCAGAATAACATGAATATTATTTATTGTATTTTATATAATTAATTTAAATTCAAATGCAAATGAATTCTTTTAATTTGAACGAAAGCGAAGAGAATACACAAAAGAAGAAGAGAGCGCAGTGCACACACACACACACACACACACACACACATACAAACTGACAGCAGCGGCAGCATTGCCAGATCAGCTTAGGCTGCTCTCCAGGCTCTGTCTCTCTCTCTCTCACACACACACACAGCTTTACATTTGCTGCGGCGTTTTACAACATTGCAAAATTGAATTTCACTTTCATGTTTGTTGTTAAAACTTTGAATATTTTTTGTATTTATTTATGATTTAAATTTATAACTTCCTGTACACACTGTCATTGCCCTACACACACACACACACACACACGCACACACGCACACACACGCACACGCGCGCACACACAGACCCTAGCCGGCACATATATGTAGATATGTATATGCGTATCTAATATATTCACGTATAATGTTTATGAAGAGAACTTTGTGTATTGAAATTGTGTTTCGATTGATTTTTATAATTTTATGTTTCTCTTTCAACAAATTTTCTTTCGATTTGATTTCTTTTAACGATTATGTTTATTACTCATTATATTTATGTTTAATTTTATGATTTTTATAATTTTGATTGACGTTTTTTTTTTTATAATTTTTTTTTTTTTTGCCAAGAACAAAGCAAGCAAGCAACAAATAGCGCAAAATAATAATAATTATTAATTTTCAATAAAAAAACAACATTTGAACAATTTTCGCAGATATTTTTTTTTTGGTTTTTTCTTTTCCTTTTTCTTTTCTTTCGTTCTCTCTCTCTCTCTTGTGTCTCTTGTATTATTTTCGATACTTTTTTTATACTTTTGTTTTACTTTGTTACCGTTAATTTGTCTCTCTCTCATTCGCTCTCTCTCTCTCTCTCTCTCTATTGTATCCCATCCTATTCGTAAACGTTCTTTGTGTGTTTCCTCCACCCCCCCCCCTCACAGAGCTATGCAGACCCCCGTCTGCCGCTGCTTCTGTCTTCGCTCTGCGGAGCATGCATATGTGTTATACATGGACGGAATTGGAATTGATGCATTCCAGTCCAGCAAAGCTAGTCAAGCCAGCAATTAATTAAATGATC